AGCTCCTCGTAACGTCACTGATTATGGGCCGTGAATTCGGTACTCCACCTTCCAATACATGCACCACGAAGCAAAATGGAGATGGAAAGGAGGTGAGTAGGGACTCGCTCGCTGGATTCCGTGCCGACCGGTTGTGCCCTCGCGATCTCCGACGTCAGCGTAGCTCTGGCCGACTCGGCTCGTCCTACGTCATCTCCTGACGCCGACCTCCGGCGAAAGTGTAGCTATGACCGACTGGTCTTGCTCTACGCCACCTCCTGACGCCGACAAGACCTCTCGCAAGTGGTGCCCCGTCCTCGGACTCCTGTGACCATGTTTCCATCTTTCATATCTCTTCCTATCCCCTCTGATATAGCGTCGCTCTCTGGCTTACCTCACGCCTCTTTTTCTCTCTCCCTCTCTCTACACATTTATTCCTATCCTTTTAATCCCTCCTCATTCCCATCCCTTGTGAGCTACTGTTGAGGTGTCGCTCGCTTAAGCACACAGTTGCGGGGCTCACTTTTCTCTTCCTTTCTCTCTTAGAGCCACTTAATAGTAGAGGTAAGTATCGTCATACGCTCGCAGTAGCGCAGTGTATCTTATGCAAACTTTTTTTCGACTAACCTCACAAGGATGACTCAGTGGGGTACGTATTGTAGGAAGACAGGCGGGTACAGTTTTTTTTTTTTTTTAGGGGCGAAGCTTTTTAAAGCGGCACCTGTTCGTCCCTCGTCGCAGTGCGTAACCAGTCTTACGTTTTGACCTGCAAGGTGGTGCCGGTGGGAGATTTCTCCTGTGCGTTGTTGAGCAATAAAAAATTCGCAGCGTGCGCGTTATTCGAACATAACTAAAAGCCGAATTCTCCTGTCTCTCATTTCCCATTAGCAGCCATTGGCATGTACATTGAGCCCTATCTGACAAGAAATGGTTGCTACGTTATACTCGCTGGGCGTAATCTCCTTGGTTTTAAAAAAGTTTAGCGAGCATTGGGCCGCAGTGCCATGAATACAGTGAACTAGTATATACCATGAACTCGAGGTGGTTAAAGCTGGGAAGTAGACACGAAGCGCAAGCCGTAAGAAGGTGTGCGTGTGCCTTGGAATGTCCTTGAAATGTCCGCTGGATGGCGGTGCTTTTATATGCGGATGGCGGTGCTTTTATACGTGATAGAAGAACAGCTAAGGGAAGAGAGGCCGATGGTATACGGTTTTGTAGAAACACATCTCAGGGACATGGAACAACCTCCGAACAATCCGGACTACGCGTGGGAATATTGTAATAGAACAGAAGGCAGCAGAAAGGGGGGTGGTATTGGGGCATTCATTCATAAAAGCAAAGACTGGCAAAGGGTCAAGCAGGAGTGCAAGGAACATTTATGGCTAAAAGGGAAAGTGGCAGGTCAAATGACACTCCTTGGATTCGTGTACTTGTGGACGGGAGCAAAGGCCGGAGAGGAAAACCAGGCAATGGTAGAGTGTATATCAAAGGACATTCAGGAGTTAGGAAGAGAGTGCGAGATAATTATACCAGGAGACATGAATGCGCACATAGAAGATATAGATGGGTATACCAACCCGACAGGCAAAATGATCATGGATATGTGTGAAAGGCTTGATTTGATCATTTGCAACAGTACCGAGAAGTGTGAAGGGCAAATAACATGGGAGGTAGGAAGGCTGCAGTCGACGATAGATTATGCACTGATGTCACATAGGATGTATGATAAGCTCAGGGGAATGCACATAGATGAAGGTGGCTCCAGAAGTCTGGGTAGTGATGACAAACGTATCAAGCTAAATTTTGGAAGAGCAGTGAAAGTGGGAAGGAGACAAGATTAGCAACTACAGGAAATTTTTTATTCAGAAAGGCAAATTGAAATAGCCACTAAACAAATTGAGAAAGTAATCACGGAGGATAATAAGACAGTTTGGACATACATGAATCTAATTAGACTCTTTGAGCTAGAGCTTGCTAAGACGCGCAACAAGTCACCCCGGAAAAGAAGACACAAACCCAAAAGTTGGTGGGATGAGGAAGTTAAGAGAGCCATAGCAAAACGTCAGGAAGCCTCTAGGGAACACAGACATGCTAAGCAGCGGGGTGAACCGACAGATGATGTTGAAAGAAAATGGAAAACCTTTCTAAGCTGTAGAAGGGCTGCATCCCTTCTGATCAATGAAAAGATTAGAAGAAAGGGAGCTCAGTGGCTGGCAGAAGTACATAAAAAAGATAGAAAGGCAGCTGCGAAATTTTAGAACCATCTAAACTCCCTAAGAAATGAGACGAGCCTAGAGCAGAGTTTTATAACTACAGCCCAAGGTGCCAGGCTAGAAGGGGACGAAGCTATTGAATATATAAAAGCAAGGGTGACAGAAAAATTTCAACAAAGAAGTACTTTATGCACCACAATAGACAAGGACGAATCAAGTAGTGCAATGGCTCCATTTTCACAAAGAGAGTGGGAAAGGGCTGAGAAAAGGGTTCCTAGTAGTACATCAACAGTCCCAGATGGCATTCCAATTAGGCTGATAAAGACATTACGTCCGAAGTCTAAGCAGGCTTTGAGAGAGGCAGTGAGCAAAATAATAATCGATGGTGAAGCTCCCGATGGATGGAAACTTAGCAGGATGAGCATGATCTATAAAGGAAAGGGGGACAAAGCTGACATAAACAACTACCGTCCTATAACAGTGACATCAGTGGTCTACAGGCTGGCGATGCAGATTATAAAGGAAAGACTGCAGGCAAGGATAGAAGATGAGGGGGTGCTGGGGGAACTGCAGAATGGGTTTCGGAAACACAGGAGGTTGAAAGACAATCTGTTCTCACTGACGCAGTGCATCGAAATAGCAGAAAAGGAACACAGGCCCCTGTGGCTAGCATTTTTGAATATCAAGGGAGCGTACGATAGCGTGGTTCAAGAGAAATTGTGGGGAATACTGGACACACTAGGCGTGGAACATGTAGTCACTAATCTTTTAAAGGGAATCTATAAAGGTAACAAGGTAGTTATAAAGTGGGAAAAACAGGTATCCAAGTCTCCAGAGGTAAAACGGGGGCTTAGGCAGGGGTGCCCCCTGTCACCCTTATTATTCATGATGTACCTACAAGGATTAGAGGCAAAATTAGAGGGAAGTGCGCTGGGCTTCAACCTCTCTTTAGTCAAACAAGGCAAACTTATTGATCAGGCACTACCAGCATTAATGTACGCAGATGATATAGTGCTAATGGCCAACAACAAGGAAGATTTGCAGAGATTGGTGGACATCTGCGGTAATGAGGGAGATAGGTTAGATTTTAGATTCAGTAAGGAAAAATCAGCAGTCATGATTTTCAATGACAACGAAGGTAGTGAGCTTAGGATACAGGACATCACGCTAGAGATAACAGATAAATACAAATATCTGGGTGTATGGATAAGCAATGGGACCGAGTACCTGAGGGAACACGAAATATACGTGACGATTAAAGGTAACAGGAATGCAGCAGTGATGAAAAATACGGCACTGTGGAATTACAATAGGTATGATGTTGTGAGAGGAATATGGAAAGGGGTCATGGTTCCTGGGCTGACGTTCGGCAATGCGGTCTTGTGCATGAGATCAGAAGTTCAAGCAAGATTAGAAATTAAGCAACGTGGAATAGGTAGGCTTGCTTTAGGAGCTCACGGGAATACACCTAATCAGGGAGTACAAGGTGATATGGGATGGACATCATTTGAGGGCAGGGAAGCTAGCACCAAGATAAAATTTGAGAAGCGATTGAGAGAAATGAAGGAGGAGCGTTGGGCTAGGAAGGTTTTCAGCTACTTGTACATGAAGAATGTCGATACAAAATGGAGGAAGCGAACCAGGAAGTTGACTGGTAAATACTTAGAAAACAGCAGGTGGCCAAACCAAAAAGAACTATCGGTTAAGAAGAAAGTGAAGGAAACGGAGACTGGCATGTGGAAAATGAGCATGATTAAGAAGTCCGCACTAGAGATCTATCGAACTTTTAAGCAGGAAATTGCCAAGGAAAGGATCTATGATAATACTCGGGGTAGTTCTCTACTGTTTGAGGCAAGGGCGGGAGTACTGCGAGCCAAGACATATCGGGCCAAATACGAAGGGGTAGACACAGTATGCAGTGCGTGTGGAGAGGAAGAAGAAACTGCCGAACACTTGAAAATGTTCTGTAAAGGGCTTCACCCTATAGTTCAGGATGATGGCGCAGAGTTTTTCAAAGCACTGGGGTTTAGGGACCGGGAGGGCAAAATAGACTTTAAGCAAGTAGACTTAACTAGAACGAGGTTATCTGATTGGTGGCTAAGGTCAAGGCACGAGTGAAAATTAAACTCTTCACTGGAAAGTACGAATCCTCAAACTCACTTTTTAAGGAATAAATAAATAAATATAGTTTTGAGTTCATTAAGTATTACGGCTTGGTGGCGCTAGCCACCGCCCGATCTAAAGGGTACATTCATATCCATCCATCCATCTAATATATAATGAAAAGATGTGAAAAGATGCGAGATGGTGGTACTCGGAGTGTTGACTAGATGGACGAACGGACACACAGGCAGATGCATGTATGGACGCACGGATGGCTGCACGGACGGATGGACGCATGGACGGACGAACGGATGGGCGGATGGACGCACGGACGGTCAAATAGACGGACGCATGGACGGACAGAAGCAACAACGAATGAACGGGTGGATGCATCGCTCGAATCTCCATCATTCACCCCGTGGATATACTGCCATTTTTTTTTTTCACCCTGACCCCAATTGCGTCCGTTGTATTTTTTTCTGAGATAATGAACGGATTTGAAAATTCATCACCTATATGGGTTTCGTGTGTTCCACAACTTTGTACTAAAGTCTGTAAAACTTCTCTGCATAATTGAACGCGAAGCTCCCTCAGCGAAAAGTACCGTCACTTCCTTCTCATTTTAACATTATCATCATTAACGTAGCGGTACTACTAGCGCCAGCAGCGGTGAAAAGGTTCACTGCTTGAGTGGGTGGCTCCGTTTGTACACATTCTCAATCCGAAAGTCACAGGGCTTTTGTTCATTTATGGGTTTCCCTGCAAGTGTGCGGGGTCTGCCGTTTTGTGTGTTTTGGCCGTTTTGGCTGAACAGCATGTGTGTGTGGAAAACAACATGAACGTTTCACCGAGCGATAATCGAGTGCAGAACACTGCACATATCATTTTCAGTATAGCTTGAAACTGTTATTTCCTGGAAATGCATCGCCTGGTCCGCGTTTCGACCGACGCTGAACTTCGTGACAGGAGATGCTGCCCCAGTCTTTCTGCTGCCATACCCATTCAGTGTATGAAACCTATGCTTGTGCGGATGCTCGCATATGAGTGATTGTTGGGCGACTGTGCTAACGTTTCGTGCCCGTTCGTTACGTCCACTATTCCCTTCGACGAGAGACGGTCGGCGTGTTGTGCTTTGGCATTTGCATCGATTGAACAGCAGTACAAATGGCCGAGACGGAGAAACCGTTCGCTTGCGATGTGCCTGGCTGTGGAATCGTAAGTTGTTACGCGCTGTGCATCGTTAGTCGTACTTGTTCACAATTGACGTTGACGCACCTCCTTCGAATGTCCTCTTCTCTCTCTTCCCGACAGAAGTTTGTCTGCGAAGACAAGCTGAGGAGCCACAAGAGAAGACACAAGATGATGCTGTCATTGAATGTTGCGAACACAGGCGCCGGCCCAAGAAACTGCATTGGTGTGTGTGCAAAGATGATCGGTTTACGGTGTCATGTGGGCATTTTCTCGTTTAACACAGCTTCGTCGTTCTTTTTACTTGCAGAGCAAACTCCAACGCCCACGAGATTTATGGAAATAATCGAAGATGCAGGCCTGTTTCAAGAACTACAACCTGATTTCACTACCCCTGAGCCTGTTCATTCGGTCAATCCATTTGAGGCGGACTTTCGCAGGGCCTTCGAGTGGGGAAATCGTTACAAAGGTAAACTGGCCATCGTGCACGTGACGATTGTTCTGCAATAACACATCTGTTAGAGCATCACAAGTTGTAGCACTGTTGCACTGTCATAATGGTTTAGTTTAAGCCCACACAAAGTGGCACTCGGTGAAGCCAGCAGCTGTGGAATCACAACACTGCAATTCAGAAACATTGCAGTGTGTCTGTAGTATATACAAGCACTGCAATCGTTGGAGGAAGCCATTGATGCAGAATATATGCTTCTAACGACTCCAGGATACAGATTTGTTGTTTGCATATAATATACGCAGGTGTCCGAAAAGATTTTGTGCCTGCTGGACAAAACAGTCTGAATGCATTGAGAAACGTGTTGCTTTTATAGCAGTTTGTAACATGCCATGACAAACTTACGTCACACATGCAAAGTATTTGGTACGAATAACGTTTATGTCCGGGAGTACAGCTGTGAAACTATTGACGTGTTGAAAGTTTTTGTCTCTTACATGCATTGCAAGTGGGATACTAGCTAATAGTGTGTACTGATTGCATACATGAATATGTGTACTGTACAGCTAACTCACTTATGCAACTAATGTGAAACTGAGGCAAATAGAAAACTCCAACCAATAATTTCATTATAAACCCAACGTTTCAAAGCCAGACCAGCTTCTTCCTCAGTGGTAAAGAAGACAGAGATGTGCAGCACTGATATATGTACTCGCCTTGTGTGAGAGGCTTGCCGCGACCTGTTGTAAACCCTGGCAGTGAAGGGAGGGTAATGTCCCCCATGAAGCAGTTGATGTTCCCCACTGTCTGCTGAATGTGCCCGAATTCGAGGAGGAGTCGCTGGCGGGTGTTCCTTTCTTTTTCCTGAATCACTGCATCATCTGGGTGGATGTGGTAGTAAAACTTCTTGCAGTGTTCTGCTACTGCATTCGGTTGGCTGTTGTTCTTGATATTGATATGTGGGGTTTATCGTCCCAAAACCACCATATGATTATGAGAGACGCCGTAGTAGAGGGCTCTGGAAATTTCGTCCATCTGGGGTTCTTTAACGCGCACCCAAATCATAGCACACGGGCCTACGTTTCCGCCTACATCAAAAATGCAGCTGCCGCAGCCAAGATTTGATTCCGCGACCTGTGGGTCAGCAGCCGAGTACCTCTCAGCCACTAGACTAGACCACCACAGCGGGGTATGGAGGTTGTTCTTGCGCTGTCGCATTCTTTCACAGAAGTTTTTTGTTTCCCCAATATAGGAAACTCATTTTATTCCCAACCAGGCAGACTTCTGTCAAATGTTCACCTTCGATTCAATATGAAATCGCGTCGACTTTGACAGTGAAAATGCATAATTCATTTTCGATTTGGGTCTCCAACTTCTGCTTGTCAAATAATGTAAACCAAATGTGTAAGGTATTGATTCGCATGGATGCATCAAAAATCAAACAGGATGCACATAGCGGAGCCGAGAAAAAAGGTTTCATATACTTTTTCAAACCACACTCTGCACTCTCATCACACCATTAAAGAATGCAACAAAATGTATTACAGTCAGGATAACGCATAGGTAGGCAGTTTAATTCAAGTTCATAACGATGTTTGGGGATTGCTACACGATGAAAACTAAAGCAACAATTTAGTAGTGTCTTGTCAAATTACTTACTCGTTTTATCATGTCCGTACTGGTGCCCGTGCAGTTATAAATGACCAGTGTCTCTTGTATACCCTGTAGTTACTTTGAGAAAGAGGTGAGCAAGTTGGTCTGAATTTACAGTGCAGAAAGGCAGGCATGCATGCAGTTTTTGTATTGTTCTCATTTTTCTCATGCTTGTGTTGTGTGAACACACCTCTACGTATTGCACAGGCACTGCTGCAGTTGCATGTGCATACGCGACATCAGTATCAGTGTAGTGTTAACAGTAGCAGCTAACTGCTGCTGTTTGCTTTTGCAGGAGCCAAGCCATATCCCTAGCACGAGCGAGCCGCTGAACACGCCCTGCATTATACCTGTCACTGCAGACCCCATTTCACTGCGGGCTGAGTTCACTCCAGGTGCAGCTGTTATTCCCGAATTCGGACCAGCCCTTTTACCCACTCCCAAAGTGGAAGTATCCAGTGACAGTGCAAGTACACCTTCTAGTGCTTCGATTGCTGGTGATAGCTGTAGTTCACCTGAAGAAGCGACAGTGGTTACAGCTGCTGCTCCCAATGAAAATAAGTTGTTGTGTACCACAGTCGGTGACAAACCTTCCGTGCTTCAGGCGAACCAGACCACCAAGGCACAACCTACTGTGACTGGGTGAGTTAATTTGGATCAGAGAACATGATGTTTTAGTTCTCTCGTGTTTGGTATGTTAGCTGTGAATACATTTTCCAAAAAAAGTATGGTGACGAAAATTCAAACATAATTTTACTACTACATCATTCAAAACTTCACTTTCTGCACAAGCTGAAGGAAAACGAGAAAGGAGACAGGAAAAGAGCACAGGAACTCTGCTCTTTCCTGCGCTCTTTAAGTGTAAACCAACTAGTCTGTAAAGAAGTATTACTACATCACATTGAAGGAAACATAGAGGTCCCACCTGTACAACATCAACCAAAAATGCTGCTTAAAACGTATTTTAATTGACTTTTGAAATTTCTGAAAGCACAGCAATGGAAAAAAAAAAGTGATAAGGTAGTTGTGCGGGGCTGCTTTGTAAGAAGTGTACGTCACGGGTTCTGTCTGTTCGTACATATCAGAGACATGTACAAGATAGACAGTGTTGGTAGCGGCACCTGATGATGCAGACAGAGCCTAACGAGAGACCCTCGCACATAAAACTGCAGTGACATGCCCACTTACTGGCTTTTAAAGCATTAATGCAACAAAATGTGACACTACCGAGAAAAAAAAAAAAATTGTAACTGGTCAAAACGCCACAAGGTGTTGCTGCCAGCTCTGCTGCTGCTGTAATGTCTCCAGCAGCCGAGTATCCACAAAAGTTAGGTAGTCCACAGACAAACTAATGCTCTCTACTGCTTGTATAATACAGCATAGTGGACAGGTATGCAACAGCTTTGGTATCAGAAAGTACGCTTGTGGGATTTGTGTGCCTTTAGAACACAACATTGCCCAAATCTACGTACAAGACAGCAAAGCATACATCATGCCACTTACATGTTATGAGTGCCAACGTGGTTTCACTACTTCCTTCATCACTTCTCAACGTGCTACTTTACAAATGGTAGGAGTGAAAATGTTTCAGCACCCGTGTACTCAGATTTGGGTGCACGTTAAAGAACCCCAGGTGGTCAAAATTTCCAGAGCCCTCCACTACGGCATCTCTCATAATCATATGGTGGTTTTGGGACGTTAAATCCCACAAATCTAATCTAAAATGTTTCAGCACACCTAATACTGCGGCAGCTCCAAGGCCCACGAAAATTATCACTTCAGTCAGATGACAACATCAAGAATAAACTTGCAGCCACCGACGAGATTGGTGAAGTAAATTGAGGTTTTCTGGCTGACTTTTTCACTCTTCCTTGCTCCTTCATCAATGACTGCACTAGATTCTGTTTGACGAACAAGCACTGGCATCACTCTACACAGCAGACAAAACAGCTGTGCTGACAACATCGCAGAAGATGGCCATGGCATCACTTGTGTTCACGGTCATCTGACAGTATTTGTCAATAGGCCAGCTATGTCATGGACCCCCAGTGCTTTTTGAAATCCAAATTGCCTCAGGTGGTAACGTAAAAGCATATAATTAAACAATTGTCTTGCACTGGGGCCAACGAGTTTTGTGGCTGCTATTATTGAGTCAGCAGGCACTGGTTAAGAGCTGAAAAACAGAGGTTCCCAGATATTTTGTCAAGATTTTTTTTTTATATAGTTCATTTTGAACTGTGTGTTTGCCTAAGAGCTTAAAAATTCTGCATAACGGCAAGTTTTTTCAGCGTTTGAACATTGGAAGAAAGGACAGAGTAGACAGAAAGGGCACTCTTTCGGTGTGCTCTGACCTTTTTCCTATGTTCACACAATGAAAAAACTTGCCAGTATGACTACATACTAAGTAGCCCAAGCTTCCACTCTTGTAAGGTACATCTGCATAAACTGCACTTGCATGACTTACCTTGCCCTCTGCAACTGCACCTTGACAGTCCAAGTGTTGCTTTGTGTCTTGGACCTATTGCAAAAATGTGAACTTTATGAAGAATTTGGTGGTTTATGGAAGAAATGGGTATGTACAAAATACATTTGCTAAAGTGAACGTCTTTCGTATGCACATATTTTTATCCTGTTCATTGGGTATCTTTTTGCAGGCAGTCAAAACAGTTAGTTGTCTGGTAGCGTGGCCATGAGTTATTTTGATTAGACAGTTGTTATGAAGATATGTGTGCAGAGTATCACTGCTGCTGTTCGTGGAGAAGGTCAGGTCACCTTAAAAGGTTGGAAACGCATTCTATGTTTGTTGATCGTTAAACGACCCTCGACAGCAAAAGTTTTCACGATTTTTTTTACAGTAATTTGTTGCTTTGCATCTGGTAATCCTAAAATTAAATCATAAATACTCTAACACATCGTATAATGAATGCTAGTGTCGTTAAAATTCAGAACAATTTTGCCATAAGAACGAATATCATTAGAAACTATCATTCCACAGCTGTAATGTTCCCGAGACTTTGTGCACTCAAGCTTTTGTGTTGCTCAACAGACCTACCTGGGGTATCTCTAGGTAGTGAAGAAATAAACGATGTGGGTGCTTTTAGCGTGTCCTGCTAGGAAAAAAAGAATTCCTGGCGTATGTAGCTGAAACCACTTTGAGAGCAGCCCTACAATAGAGCGCGAGGCGTGATGAACAATAAATAGTCCTGATCGGGTGCCAGGCCAGGTACCAGTCCGGGTATTGTGCGTGCCCCGCAAATGTTCTCTCACGTCAACATTATTTGCTTTCCTCGTGGAACCTCGCGTAGAACCTCTGTCTGCGTCAAACCAGAGAAGACGTTGATTGGTGCTGATAACTGAGGTAGCCCATATTTTAAAGCCAAATTGAAATATCTATGTGTAACATTTGTCACTAATAATTGGTCAGAAGCTGCTCGCATGCAGGACACTAAAACAACACAATCACCTTGAGTTTCTAAATTTGGTTTCAAGAGTCCTTTGTGACGCAAGTAGGAAACTTGCAAGCATAGAAGTGAAGCAGGAGAGGCAACAAATTGACGGTGATATTCACCCCGTAGTACACAAAATTAAACAGGCTGGAAATTTTTATTGTATAAAGTTATTCTGTGACAGGCAGCACTGTTGAGGTAACTTTCTTGTTTCTTTTCTCAGGCCAACTACTGCTAACAGCATTCTAGCTGCTACTAGCCCTGTTGTTCAAGTGCTTCCAGGAGTTTCTCGAAACCACGTGACACCAGTTGTAGCCCCTGTCATGGGAACACCTGTTACTCCTATCGCGCCATCCATAAACTCTCTGCCTGGCTCCAAGGCGACCACCATCATTACTCCTTCTAACATTATTCAGGTCAGCCCATTGTTTACTGGGTCTTCACCAGTAGTGAATAAGTTCACAATCTGCCTTTTCCACGATACCATGGCGCATGCAACATTCCTCTAGCGGAAAAGTCGTGTAACAACTCCTCGTCTCGGAGGCCTTTGTTCTAGCAATGCCAGTTCGCCCATTCCCTACCAAACCCTACCAAAACGCCAGAGGGCAGCATTTTTCCCCGAAGCACACTGCACTCATGGACAAACGAAATGTGAAAAGGAAGTTGCAAAGTAGAATATACTGCTCAAGTAATAGATCGTGCAACACATTCACGAATTATCTCGTAGCCATTATCTCGCTGTGGTTCCCGAAGATAGCGTTGGCCTGATATTAAGCATGCAAGCTAAAATAAGGCTAATTCTAAGCTTACTTGCAGTAATAAGAACATCATAGTAGATAAATAAAACAAATGTATGTTTTCTGTTTCCATCTAGACTAACGAGTTAGGTTCATGCTTGCTGGCCGGCCTCTCCTATTGTTATAACACCTGCTTCTGTGTTATTTTTTCTAATGTTGAATGAATGCCATCAGTATGATGGGATATGTCAAAACATGACTGAGTACACGATCTTGGCATGCTGTCAGTGTCTCACTGCTCGTCAAGTGGTGTGCTTCTCTTCATTATTATTATATTCTGTTGACTTCAAGCATAATCTTCGAGTACTACACAACTTCAATGTGGAAGTGCCCGACCCTTAGCATTCTGCAACACACAAACCAGGATTGTATGTCCTTGCCCCCCACCCCCTTTGAAAGCTTCTGTTTCGCTGTTCCATGCAATGTATGGCTCACAACGAAGTCGTAAAATGCTTTCCAGCCCAGCTTTAACTATATTGTTCAAATGCCTCCTGAAATACACAAAAAGTTATGCCTTGCTGCATTAGTCCTTGGAAGCACAAGGTGGGTTGACCATGTTGCACTGATGCCTTCTGCAGATTAGAGACAGTGTCCAGCTGTTGATTGTTGCCAACTCTGCTCCCGCCGGGGGTGCAACAACGCAATTGCCTGCTGCGCCTGCTCCTCTCCTGCAACAGAATGTCGAAAGGGTTAGTAGGATATTTTTGTAGTCAACTCGCAGTAAGATATTTTCGATAACTGCACGGCCTGAAAGGGGGCTTTGGTTCTCAGTCTGTTGACTTAGCATGTACAGTGGCTCAAGAATCTGGCACAACAGAGTCAATTCAGTGGCATAATACATCAGAGCACTGTTCGAAAGCTTCACAACAACTAAGGTGGTGGTGTCAATGACTTCGAGTAATTTCATTTTTGACCTGCAGGCAGCAGACAATGAAGAAAAATGGGACGGTGAAGGGTGCATTTTACAGCGAAAGTTGCATATGGCTAGGCCAAATGAAAAACCGTTCGTCACGAATTTCGATAATAGTCTTCATTGGCAATGTCGTTAGTGCCGCCATTCGTAATACCCAAGCATGCGTGCCATTGGCTGTGCAGTTAGTGATGTCGTCCATCCCGTCACCCGTGTTGCCGAGTCCGCACGCAGCAGTTACAACTTGCAACTTCCGCTGGGGGAGGGACACGGAATATACAAATTCCTGAATAGTAGACAATTTTCCAAGGACAGCGCCGGCAGCTGATGTGTGTGAGAATTCATGGAACCTGAGTCAGTGAAGCAGTCAAGGCACAAGAACATGTCCAAGTGCCGAAGTAAAGCAGCAACTGAACACCGAGAATCTGGCAGCCTTGAGAGCCGAATGCAAACAACATCGGCGAGCTAAGAAAGCAGCGTCAATGTGGTAATGTTGGGAACACGTTCACCGTTGACAAACGTATACTGGAGAACGCGCGAGAGAGAGGGGAGACGCCCATGCCGTCTGCTACAGCGCTCATTGGCTACCACCGCTGCAAACCTCATTTCCACGCGTGCTCGTATGTCATCGCCGCCGTCACCGCGGCCGCGCTCTCAAGGTGAGGAGCGGGTGATTGCGGTGCTGCGTTGTGTCCATATGCCAGTGATCCAACTGCTTTGGGTTGTTTCCGAACTACTGAAGCCTTAAACAGTGTCGGACACACACACTCACGCGCACACACACACACTCACGCGCACACACACACCCTCATGCACGCACGCTCGGGACTGACTGTGTAGACAAGCAGCATCTGCACACTCGTGGCATTACGACTAGTAGTAGACGGACAAGATTTACGCGCTGGACCGAGACGTACGGCTGTGGTCGCGGGGTTCCATAGCGTGGGGAGCTCGTTTTTCAACATGCGTGTTTAGCTCATGCCCAAGTTTTAATCCCCCATAGTTGTAGTTTCAATCCCCATTTTAACGGCGGCATCCAACGACTGTACGCTGCTGTTCATGTTTTGAGCAGTTTGCAGTGCTTGCTTGTACTTGCGAGTTTTAAACAGATCAGTACCGACTTGTCTAAATCCAACATTTTGCAATGTACAAACCAACCGGCCCAGTTCAGTTCGCTAAGGCAGGTGAACTTTCTTCATTCTGTTTCTGAAAACACTGTTTACACTTGAGCGCAGCTTACATGCTCAAGTCAATATATGCCAAGGTTATTAAAACAGTTATGGAAGAGCTATATTGCAAAAATATTACATTAGCAGGTCCCAGAGTTCAGAAAAACTACTGGGAGCCTATTGTGAACATGCATGTTGCTTGTCTGAAGCCCTCCACATGAAGGCAGCAAAAGTAACTCACAGCGAAGGCTTAATGTGGAAGCATAAAAATAATGAAGTGAGTTGGTTGCAATGAAAAACATTGATTTTTACTCCCTTCTGCGATGCCCTCAGGCATTGGAAGTTATACAAATAAAACATCTGGCATAAATAGACATACTCTTGCAGAAATTTATTGAAAACTAAAGTCACCCTTCACCGTCACTCAGTTTTTTTTTGCACCATCATGCCTGTGATGTATCTTTTTTCTATTCATCATTGTAGTAAGCTACTCAGTGCCATCACAGTGATACAGTTGGGAGCCACGCACATGTTGTCAAATCTGGTTTTTGTTTTGCTCTGCAACTACCTCATATCTCCTTGATTTTGCTTCAAATATAACTCACTGTCACCTGCAAGTTATACATTTGCAGTATTTTGGAGAAGGACTGCTGCACAAAGTCCGCAAAACTGCAGTAGGCATCACAAACTGACACTGCAATGTCAAGTAACTGGGCAGTTTATTTTAAAACAGGACATACTCAGTGAGTAAAACAACTGTTTCACGTTTTTGCGCCGCTCTCGCTGCTGGTAAAAAACCGACTGGGGCGTATTATGAGCACTTGATAGTTTAAACTTGCAATTACTAACAATATGCATCGATCGTGTAGGCAAAATCGTCGGTAGCCTCGAAATTGCTCAAAACATGAAGGGTGATGTGCGGCCGTACCTGCAACAGCGTAATAAGCCGACCGGAGTAAAACTTGACATGTGTTTGGCAGCCGGGATGAAAATGCTGCGGGATCTACAGGAAAAAGTTAGCCCTAATGCTAGTGACGCTGCGGCAAACAAATGTGTCTTGTGTGCAGTCTGTCTATGCAATTTGCCCGAAACTGTTTACTTACGGTTTCAGTAGTTCGGAAACAACCCAAAAGCAATCCTGTTCACAAAATACACTCACCATACAGCTGCTCTCATTACACCCTCGACGCAGTTTGCCCGAGACTGTTTACTTAAGTTTTCAGTAGTTCGGTAAAAACCCAAATGCAATCTCATACACAAAACATACCACACACAGCTGCTCTCAGTACCAACACTACTGGCAGAGTTTGCGGCCAACTTGGCTGCTGGCGCAGCAACCGCGAAAAAGAGCAAAAATTCTAACTGAATGCGGAAATGATGTTCGTGGTAGGTGCTGCCAATGAGCGCCGTAGCAGAGGATATGGGCGTCTCCCCTCTCTCGCGCGCGTTTTCCAGCAAACGGTCGTCAAACACTCCACCAGGGCCAGCGCTCACTTGCAGCAGAGTTTCTCGAGCGGCACTCTGGCATTGGCTGTGACGTCTGTGACCACTTGTGGCCACACATTTCGGATTTGCTGCGGCTTGGGCAGGTTGACAGAGTGCTTGGGTGGCTCGACTCGAGTATTGACGCGGGTATTGACGCAAGAAAACAAGAGTTTTCTCGTGTCCGTACATTTGCGACCATAGCGGAGCCGGACAAGTTGCTTCCCTGTAATGCCTGAGTGTAATGGGGTAAAGTATATAAAAAAAAAAAACTATCTAAAGGGTTAATGTCAAGCGGGATGGTGATTGCATTTGTATATGGAGAATTGGAATAGTAAAATCCCAGTGCAAACTGAATCGAATAGCTAACAGTATTAGAAAATATTTGAAATTCCGAATAGCAAACATTATTAGAAAAATATTCGAAAGTTTGAATATTTGCACACCGTAACTTTAGATTTATTTAGCTCCTGTGCTTAGATTTACTTGTAAAGGTGTCATTTTTAAAAATTCTTTTTACAAAAACCTACTTACGATTCTTATTATTAAGGCACAAAGAAGCGATCATTTAAATTCTGTGTGTTGGAACTTGCGACATATTTGTAACCATAGCCTTGAAAGTTAATGTTTTGTACTTCCCAGGTTACTAAGTTTCCTGTGGATTACAATATGTTAGAAGACATAGAATAGTTGTCTATTTTGTTGTTGTTGTACTCTTGTGAAGAAAATGTTCCACAAATCGTAGCTTTAGTTTCAAAAATGTAATCCGTGCACTGTAATGCCAAGTTTACCACAATTATTGTTTCTCTTTTAACCTAGCTTGCTGCCAATGTCTTTTTTTTTTTTTTCATGATATTCTTCGAGAAACTGAAGGACCCACTGGTTGTCAAAGGCCTTAGTAGTCTCACCGACAAACAGAGGGCAAAAAAATCTACGCTTTCCACGCCTAATGTTATTAAGCGCCCAATTCTGCCATCATGCCCAAATCTGGATGACAGGTAAGTGGGAGAATCGCCTTTGGCAGCAGGCAACATTTCTAGAAATAATTTCTAGTAATTACCATGGAATCGGATTTTTTAACCAACCTACCCATGACACAGGTTACAAAGCAAAACACCTGTGTTGTCTTGTTAGGGTAACTATTGTTACCCATGTATGTTACCCATTTCAGCATATGGCAGTGCATATGGTGTGCTCTTTGTGTAACCTGGTGTGCGCTGCCACATGCTGTGATGTCTTGCCAACTAGCCCGCCAATACATTTTAAGCATGTAATGCAAACTTCTTGTTCTTAATATTTTACCCCATGTAATGCTGTATTATGAATGTATGCTATGAATGTGAAGCGAGATTTGTTTTGCTCCTTTGATATCTGTATAGGAGTTTTAGTTACAACAAGACTATAGAATTGGCTGAAAAACATCATCAGCTGTCTCACAAAACTTGACAATTTGCAGTAGTACATTCTCATTTTAATTGTCGCTGTGTTTTATTGAGGAGAAGCTACATGTGGTCATACGCATGTGGCCTGGTATTTTTTCAACTCTGCATTGAATTGGAATTTTGGTTATTCTAGTAACTTTTACGTGCTCACTGTTTTTGCTTATATTATTTTTTTTTTCCAACAGCAACAGTAACTGTGTAAACATGATCATTGACGAGGAACGGAAGAAGAAAAACAGAGAACACAACAGGTGATGTGCTTATGTTTTTTTTTTGTCATGTTGCTCATCATTAACACTTATATCTGTTATTCAGCTCTGCATAAGCAGCTGCAAATCATGTGCTGCATGCCCCATTCATGTGCAGAATATTTGTGTCACCAGTGCTAGCTAACTCTAGCGTCTTGCTTCATGCCCTGTGTGCCTTTTTTAAGATGTGAAGCAGCTTATGACAGAGTTAAATCCGGTGATGTGCGGCGTGGCCACCCTTACCGCGCATGCGCAACAGCTGGCCCGAGCACTGCCATAACGCGCGCATGCGCTAGCGTGTTTGGGCCTGTGTGAGGGGCTGGGTAAGACGCCGTGGCCTCTTCCACTTACACTCTCTCAGCAATCATGTGATGGCATCTAGAAACAAGATTCTGCAGACGCACGATGAACCAACGCGTTGTATCTTGCACACTGCTTTGCATACTACTCCTTGTTCCCTTTTAAAGCAATCTTATTAGTGTCGCAAGTTATCAACACTTTGATGCTGCAGCTTCACCTAGCAATACACAGCATCTCCAACAATTGCAGCAGAGCTTGTTGTTGAGCTTATTGCTAGTGCTGTGTTCATCTCACTCTAGTAACAGATGGGGCCGTCACAGCTGCTAATAATATGGCCCAAAGGAGAAGGAAGGGTGGGTCATTATTTGTAAATTATTAGTGCATTCAGCTGGCCGAAACTGAAATGCATATCCTTCTGGTTAATCCAGAGCATTGCACTTCAGTTCAATACTAGAAGACATTCACTTTTTTCCAATTTGGCAAATTCTGACAAAATTCTCGTCACGTTGCTCCCATGTTTACTCGGAGAGCAGCAGCCTAACATTCTGCTCAGAAGGGCTATCCTTATACATAAATGTTGAGAAGGCTCCACATCGCTGCAATGTAACCTAATTTAGGATTATTTAGCCCTTGACCATTCAGTATATGTAACCCTTCTGTTGACACTACATACCTGGCATCGTTGCTAGAGTTTATAGCAGAGAAACCTGTAAGTTCTATGTCTTTCCAGGCACCATATTCATATACGATTCTGTAATAGATACTCCATGTTTAGCGGTTGCTTTTTTGATTATATGCACCTGGTGGTAAACCAAGTCAGAGTGTGCAACAGGCGACTGCAATCAGATAAAACTGCATCGTCGTGCCATCTGATGTTGAGCATTTAGTGTTAACACGTCTCAGTGCACATCCTTTTCACACTGGCAGCCATATGTTATTACTCACTTGATTATAGTCGAATCTCGATAATTCAATCTCGGAGGGGCCTGAAAATTTATTCAAATTAAAGAAATTTAAAATAATGTAAGGTAAATAAACGGAGGGCTCTCCATGCAGTGGCGCATGGAGAGCCCTCCACACACGAGGGGGAAGTTTCAGAAGACTTACATTTATTCACAAATCACAGGACATCCTTTATTAATTGAAGAAGGCTCCACATCGCTGCAATGTAACCTGATTTGAGATTATTTAGCCCTTGACCATTCAGTATATGAAACCCTTCTGTTGACATTACATACCTGGCATCGTTGATCGTAATCGGTGATGCGTGTCTGCACACGTTTGCCTTGCAGTGAGTCAATAAATTTCGCATGCAGCTTGCGGAGCATTTCTACTTCGGCTTCAGCATTCTCCTGGCAAGAGATGTTGCTCGCGGAAATGTCCAGCGCCGACACTTTCTAAAGACGACAGCAACAACGACTGCGTAGCAGAGCATGGCCAGCATGTGACGGGAAAGGAGGAGCGTCGTCACGCGGAAAAAAGCAGATCGGCTTTCGAGAGAAAACCAGCACTCCATGGCATCTTTTTTCTCTCTCTCTCTCTCTTCGCACGCGTCAATGAAAGGAAAAGGGTTACGTGGCAGGGACGGGAAAGGGGAAGCATGGCACCGGCGCGTGAGAGACCCCCCTCAAGGCGCAGAGCCGTTCTCCCGCAAGGGGCAAGGGCTGCAGAAGATAGTGCCTTTTTTTTTTCCTTCAACCACACATTAATTCAAGCCAGCGACAGCTTTACTTTTTTTCCTCTCTCTCTTCGCACGTGGCATTGAAAGGAGAAGGGTCTTTACGTGGCAGGGACGTAAAAGGGAGAAGCGTGACACGGGCGCATCGCAGATTGGCATTTGAGAGAGAGCAAACATTCCACCGCAGCCTTTTCTTTCCTTTTCATTTCCTTCGCTGCGCAGTGCAGGTGTCGCAGGTGCAGCCGCGGGATTGGGCGGAGTGCTGAGAGCATTTTCGGAGCATGGTATGTTCGAATTAATCGTCGCAAATGCTTGCGCGTTTCGAATTACTGGGCGTTTTCGCCCATTGGAATACACATAGCGTTGACGGGACCTCATCGTGAATTCGAATTAACGAGAAGTTCGAATTAAGCATGTTCGAATGAAATGAGATTGAACTGTAGTACACGTAGCGCACTCTGGTAAAGGTCGTTATTTTTTTTCTCTAATTGGTCATGCACTCAGCTCAACGACAGCGTGGTAGGGCTGAAGCGTATGCAACTCACTTTGCCCTTATCAGACATAACGCAGGTCAGCTGGGCCTATTGTTTTTTTTTTTTAGCAGTCACTCAACTTTTTTTCTTATTTATTCATCACTGCCTGTCCGTGTTCCTGTTACTCTCTGTAACCATGCAGACTGCATAGCTGATTTCTTGCTCTCTATAGGCCAGCACTAGCTCTAAAGGAGTGCAATCACAAACATAGTTTCGTAGTCGTAGTCAAGATATGAAGCGTCATGATTCTAGATCAGAAACAAGACATGCAGCATTAGATTTCCTCTCCAAAACATTGCCGATCAAATTTTGAGGGTAGCCATGCCAAACAATGGTTTGTCTGCTGTCAATGACAACTCAAGGCAGTGTCAACTACTGAAGCTGATGAGTTTTCTATTAGCGAGAACACGTTCCTCACTAAAAATCTGCATGCCTCGCTAATCTTCACGACTATTTTTGCAGCTGTATCTATGAAAGTGCTGATAAAACAGAAGAAAAGTATGAAATCTAGCCAGAGGTGCGCCGTGCTAGCATAGTTTGTCTACATAGTGAATTAGCTGTTTTTCGGTATGTCTGCTAGAATACTGTTGTCATGCCATTCCTTTATGTTTGCCCATTGATCATGCATTTGGGCTTCTCGTCAAGCAGCGATACTTATTAAAGGCATGGAAATTTCAAGCACCGAACATAGTTCCACAGCCACATGCATGTACAACTTATCTGGGCAACGACAGACGCGGCGGTATGGAGCACCATTCGTGAAGAGTGGTATGCCATTCTATCTAACAGCGAATGTGTTGCCTGACTTTACAATTTTATGCCGTGGGGGATGTCTGAGATAATTTCTTTTAACATATAGTAAAGGGAGGGGGGTACAGATGATAGATTTCGCCTGATGCTATCTTTTGCTGGTCCTGAGTCCAAGTTGCTTTCCTTTTCGTTCTTTCATGGCCCCAACGCAAAACCTCACCAATAACTGCTCACATTATTTTTTACTCATCTGCTTGCCTATTTCGTGCCATGTGCAGGACGACCTTTCCATCTCTTCTAATCATCTGTCAGTAAACCGAAGCATTTTTTTGCAGCTCAACGCCTCATCATTTTCGGTACCATCGTTCATACTTCCATACGACATGGTACATTTGAACTTAAGGAACATGTAAAGAAGGAAATTAATGCCTGTATGTGGCACCAGTTTATCACTAAGATGAGATATGTTATCTCTCTAGGCAGAGAAAAGCGAGAAGCACACTCTTCACGCCCACCGTGACCCCGTAGAACTGAGTGTGTGGTGGATTGAACAAAGAATGCGACCCCTACCACTAAGTGCAGCGTGTAACCAACTATTCCACTGCGAGTAAAAGGACATGGCTGCGAGTGTAAAAGGACATGCACGCACACGGTGATGCCTCGACATTGAGCGTTCCTTGTCAGACAGCATGGCGGTGCAATTTTATCTGACTGCGTTGACCGCTCATACATCCTAACTTACCTTGCTGCAAGGTGTACCAGTAGACCTGTATAGTGCTTGTGTGTATGTGTGCACTGACGTGTGTATTTAGCCTAGTTAATTGTATATAAATGTGCTTACCTGCCTTGCCAGGGCTGTGTTGTTGTCTGCAGAACATACCAAATAAATAAAACTAAGTCAACAAAGTCAATACCTATATATGGGAACCATTATAACGCAACCTGATGCAGTGCTACTGCAGTCACGCTCAACTATGCTCGTGTTAGGCAGTACGCATAAAAGAACTTCAAGCTGGGCTTTAAGAGAGGAAACAATGACTGACAGTGTTGGTCTCCTTTAATTTCACTTGTAGGTATGCTGCTCAGAGATCCCGACTTAAGAAGAAGCGCCAAAGTGAGGCCATGAGAAAGGAATTGGACGACTACAAGAAGCTGTGCGCTGATCTCACTGCACGAAACATGGAATTGATGGTTCGTGCTGCACCTGCCATGATCCTGAACAGTTGCTTGTAGCGCAAGGAGGTGGGGGGCAGTGAGCATGCAACGCTACAGTGTAGACATCTCGAAGTGTCCTTTTTACTCATCCTCAAGCAAACTAAACAGTGCGATAATTGAAGGCTCTTCCATATCTTACTAAACATCACGGAATAAGCTTTTTTAGTTTAAGTAGAAAGATAAATTTACACTGTGCATAACAAAGGCACATCTCGAAAAATATCTTCACCTACATGGCTGTCTGAGCAAGTAAACGTTTAGGTTTACTACATAATATCTACTTGTCATTATGCCCATGTTCTTTCATTAAGGTTTTACTGTACATTGTCATGGTGTGCTGTATTTTTGCATAAAGAAGCTGTAACTTGTAGGGTCTCTTGTACTCACATATGGGTTATTTCTGAAGAGATTTCATGTTAGGTTTCAAGAAACTTATCGACATTGTTCTCCACAATGACTAAAATCTGGACACTAATTTTGGAATACAGAGTTTTCGTATACAGTGATGCTTTAACTTCACAATGACTGCATGAGGTGTCTCAAAAAAAAAAAGAATGCTTGAGAGCACTTTGAAATAAAGCATTATTAATCCCAGTAGGCGAGAAAATAATGCGAGTACCATTCAGCAAAGTCACAGCACTTTCATTTAAATGCGAAGGCGCAGGGCACTAGCAAGCAGTCCTTAGGGCTACTTGTTTGAGACCGCTTCACTAAAGAAACAACTTCAATCACCTTTTATATGGCTTTAGCTTCACCAGTACAAAAATGCCTTTAAATAAAATAAAGACCAGCAGTTATCAATGTAGCAGAGCATCCTTCCAGAACTTTTTAAGAGGAGCTTATCATAAAGAACAGCTGCAGCAATTAGGTAGCTATCTCAAGCCTTTATCGTAACTGCGTAGCAAGAGAGAGAGAAACATACTTTTGCCTGTCTGATTGATGAATTTAAGGCTAGCATTGGAAAAAGATTGCGGTGGTTTATTAGCAGCACATAGGTGTGAAATGTGGAGAAGGCAGTAAGACTTAACATGCAAACACTTTTACTACTGCCTCTACACTGTGTACACAGAGCACCTTTGATATCACTGCGGGATGCACCCGATTCTTAAATATAGAGTCTTCGTTACCACAGTGATTATTCATCTTGTAGTGACTGCATAGGGTTTATTCGTTTAATATTCGTTTATTAATACCTCAAGGGTCCGAGGGAGATTACATGAGGGGTGGGCAAAAAAAAAAAACATAATAGATGAAACAAAACAGAAAACAAATTGGCACAAACAATAACGAAGTATAGAAAAACAGCAGTAGATAATAATTAGTAAGATAAAATATAGCTTTTTACAGTGTTTTTAAATTGATCGAACTGAGATGACATGGCGATGTGGGCGGGAAGGTCGTTTCAGTCATGCGATGCCTGAAGGAAAAATTACTATTCGTTTATTAATACCTAAAGGGTCCCGAGGGACATTGCCTCATGTGTCAACTGGCAGTGTCAGTATAAACGGACAATGTCAATTGACATGTGTAAACTTGAATACGGAAATTTTCGCATCAGGTTCGCACTGTGGCTGAACGCTTCCATTATACTGGCTAACGTGCACAATTGATTCAGTGATATTTATTTATTTATTTGATACTGTCAACCCCGTGCTTGGGGTCATTACAGGGAGGGTGTCACAAAGTACATAACGTTCGCACAAAAAGAAAAATTCGAAAGCACATATAAATACGAGATGAATAACCAACAACAGAAAAATAAAAAACAAACAACAGTGACTATACACATAAAAATCATCGAATAAATGCTCATAACAGAATTTAGCACGCATCACTACAAAAAGACTGTCTAATGCATTTTCAAAATTCACTGATGTTAGTTGCACAACCGCATTGAGTAAACTATTCCACATATCTATTGTGTATGGGAATAAGAAGTGGCGGAAAGCATTCGTGCATGTGAAATAAGGTTGAATTGCTCTACTATTATTAAGACGATCACATCGCCTTTTAGGGGGCTGAAGATATAAGTCCTTACTTACTGTTGGAAAAGAAAAGGAATAAACGTGTGCAGGCTAGTACTGCAAAAGAAGAAGAAGAAGTTGAAAACGAGAAACGGTGTTCAGTCTGGTTTCTTCGCCGATCGGTAGTTTTCCTTTACATCGTGGTGCCGAAACCCTCATGCGGACACGTCTCCTTCGTCGCACAACTCGAGGAAACCTTCTACTCGACCGCGTCGTTTTGCGGGCGGCGAGGACTGCAACGAATCGTTCCTGATCGGCGTAGACTGGACTAGACTCTAACACCGGATCCGATGGATCGCCTCAAGACCAAGCGCTCCGCTCGACGAGCCCAGAACACCAAGCTCCTGCAAGAAGCAAGGTCACTGCTAAGTGACCCTACCGCGGACAAGCCCAAACTCACAGGTATTTATGACCGTTTGTCAGCGAGCAACAACGAGCTCTCGAAGATCAATGATGCGCTCGAGGAGCACGTAGCGGACGAGGAGCTCGAAGCTGAGTATGTCGCGGCAGCAGAGTATAACGACAAAGCTATAAGCATGCTCGCTGAGATTCGCTGCAAGATAGACGGTTTGCAACATGGAGACAGTACAGCAGCGGCTGCTCCTCAGAACGCAAACACATCACCTTTTGACGTGCCGACCGCAATTGGCCCAAGGCTGCTGAACCTTGGCATGCCAACATTTAGAGGTGATATACATGAATGGTCGGCTTTCTGGGAGCAGTTTGAGCAAACTGTCCACCTGAACAACGCTTTGTCAACAACGACGAAGTTCTTCTATCTACGTCATTATCTTGCGGGTGAAGCGGCAGCTGCGATATGTGGTTTTCCGACTTCCGAAGCCTGTTATGCAGACGCCATCGAGTTATTGAAGGAACGCTTCGGAGATCGAAAACAGATCGAGCAACACCACCTATCAGCGCTTCGCAATCTACCTCACATCAAGTCGGGAAGCGACGTCCGCGGCCTTAGGCGACCTTACGATGCTGTGCAGCTGAATATCCGTTGTCTAACTGCACTAAATGTTCCTACGCTTAGCTTTTCCGCTATGCTGATTGACATTTTACAGGAAGCCCTACCGTACGACATCATTTTGGCCTACACACGTGCAAAGCGCAGTCAGGCACTAAGAGAAAACGGGTCTGCTGCCAATGTCCTTGAGCCAAGCGTGGCAGCTGCTACATCTGATGCGGAGTTAAAGGAGCTGCTCACCTTATACACGTATAGAGCTAGAAAGTCGGGAGCAGTGCAAGCCCTTTAATGACCGACTGCTGGATGACCGTGCACAGAGGACTCGAAGCGGCAGCACCAGCACGGCTTCCGTACTACACAGCACATCGAGCAGCTGGGTTGAGTGTTTTTTCTGCAAGTCGAAGAAACATGGCACCTGCGATTGTGACGCGAACCTCCTTGCCATCGATTCAAAGAAAGGAATGCTTGCAAAAGACAACCGCTGGTATCGATGCATGTCCCGAGGACATCAGGCAAGTTCGTGCTGCGTCAAACTCACCTGCTCGAGTTGCCACGGGAGGCACGCACCAAGTATGTGCGACCCGCACTATACATCGAACCAAACAGTGACACCTTCTCGTCCACTTGACTCCTCCGGCAGCACAGTAGGAATGGTGTCGTCACAATCAATTATGCTGTCTGAGAAGGATTCACTGAGCGGGGGCACAACAAATCACAGTGAAGTATATCTACAAACTTTTCACACCTTTGTCATCAAAAACGGCAACACAAGGTATGTCCAAGGGATTCTCGACGGAGGGAGCCAGCGATCCTTCGTCACGGAAGATCTCGCCAAGACATTACACCTACAGGTGCTGGGAGAAACACAAATTGCACTGAATACGTTTGGCTGTTCATCACCAAGTACTGTGGAAAGACGGCAAGTGGTAGAAGTTCCTCTGCGTAGCCAACACGGTTCTGACACCTGCACGTTGCACGCAATCGTTGTTCCAGTTATCTGCCACGATATTGCTTCCCCGAAAGCTGACAGCCATTTCGTTCAGAACCTGCGTCTTGAAGGCAAGGTCATTGCGGACGAAAAGAAGTTTGATGCGGAAACGGAAAATAGCCTCAGCTTGTTGATCGGCGCTGACCACCTCTGACAAATCATGTCGGTACGTATCGTCAAAAGTGCAGAAGTTCCAGGACTGGTAGCAATGGATACAGCTTTTGGATGGACGCTACAAGGACCCAGTCACCAAAAAGCCTTTCTTGACTGCAGCTCTAGCCTAATGGTCTGCATTCTGAAAGTGCAAGCAATTGGTGATGACGAATCAACCTCGCAGACCTTGCAATCTTTTTGGCAACCAGAAGCAATGGGCATCGCAGATTCAACGGAACCTTCCTCCCATGAGTCCGTTGCACGATTACATGAAACCATTAGCAAGAAAAGCGACAGATACACTGTGGCGTTGCCTTGGAAGGAAGATAAGAAACCGCTTCTAGCGAACAACCGGGAAATTCCGCTATCACGTCTACAAAAATTACCACGGAGGCTATCAACGATGGAAGGAATGTTGCAGCGATATGACAGAGTAATCTAGCAATATCTGGTGTTGGGTCAAGCGGAAGTGGTGCCTAAGGATACTCCTCAGGATCGAGATCGCATCATATATTATATGCCACATCGGGAAGTAATAAGAGAGGAATCGTTAACTACCAAACTGCGTGTAGTGTTCGACGCATCGTCACACACCCAAGGTGTACCATCCCTTAACGACTGCTTGGATAAAACAGTGAACCTCAATCCAGAATTGCTGCAAGTCCTTCTTCGCTTTCGGTGGCACCCTGTCGCCATCAATTTTGACATCGAAAAGGCAGTCTTACAAATTAGGATACATGAGACTGACCGAGATGCATTCCAGTTTTTCTGGTTTGACTCTATTTCGTAAGCCAACACTGTAAGCTCGTCGAATGGCGCATGACACGGATACCGTTTGGATCAACGTCAAGCCCTTTCTTGCTCATGGCAACTATTCACTGCCATTCAGATAACGCATGTAAAGATAAGGAGCTCGCTTCTACATTAAAGAAGGCATTTTATGTCGACGATTTATTGGTGGGTGCGGAGACATTCCATGAAGGTCGGCGCATCTATGAGCAGTCGAAAGAAATTATGAAAGATGCTGGCATGAAGCTCAGAAAGTGGAAGACCAATGACCATCAGCTGCAGAACATTTTTGACAACCAGGAGGAACAAGTAGAAGGAGCATCCGGAGAAGCAGCTGCTGTATTGGGAATGCAATAGGATATAGAAAATAATTACTTCAAATTTTCTTCCAAGTCGGTGGCCCAGTATTTAGTGGCTGGCCAGCTCGACACGAAACGTACCCTACTGAAGGTTGCTTCTCCAATTTATGACCCACTTGGCATTCTATCGCCATTCACCATCACTGCGAAGCTTTTGTTTCAACGCCTTTGGGTTTTAGGCCATTCCTGGGATAAAGAACTGCCCGCGGAGATCAAGACGCAGTGGGCAGCCTGGTGGGCAGATGTAATACAGCTCGGCCACATAAAGATTCCGCGTTGCGTGAGAGACGGACTGCATGGAGCACTTAAAGAGGCTGAACTGCATATATTCGTCGACGCCAGCCTGAAGGCTTATGGAGCATGTGCCTATTTGAGAGCATTTGATGAAGGTGGAAACTCCGCTACCTCTCTCATAGTAGCGAAGTCAAGAGTGGCACCTATTAAGACATTAACGCTTCCAAAGCTCGAGCTTATGGCCGCGGTAGTGGGAGCCAGATTGCTAAAATACATTTGCTCCTCGTGGGATTTCAAGCATTTTAATTGCGTCATGTGACTGACTCCATGATCACACTGAGCTGGATCCGCGGAAACCATAGCAAGTGGAGTCAGTTTGTAAATCACAGAGTGACTGAAATAACGCAAGTTACTGAAACAGCGTTATGGCAGCTACTGCCCTGGCGAAGACAACCCGGTGGATGTACTGACTAGAGGTATACCGATAAGGACTCTACGTGCATGTCGCTATTGGTGGTATGGACCTGAATGGTTGTCCCAGCAAAAATCAGGCTGGCCTCCAGAACCTAACCAGTACAAACCGATAAACGAAGAGGCAGAGATTGAGACGCAACATGTATTTCTTCAAGTGTCGTCCAGAAACTTACACTCGGTGATCGATATAAGGAAGCATAAAGACCTGCAGAAGCTCCTGCGCGTCACCGCCTTGGTCTTTCGCTTTGTGAATCGATGCCGTGGACTTCAAACATTGCTCAGCGAAACAATTTTGGCACGGGAGCTAAGCAAGTCTGAAATGTTTTGGGTCCGATATGTTCAGCTGGAAGTATTCGCGAAGGACGTCGAACAACTGCAGCTTGCACACACTCTCCCCAAACAGTCTATACTTGTTGAGTGAAAGCTCAAGACGGGAAGTTTTTCAAAAAACCAGTGCAGAGATTGTACAGACTGGAATTGAGTGACGCTACTGGGGGGCAGGAGTATGTTGGAAAAGAAAAGGAATAAACGTGTGCAGGCTAGTGCTGCAAAAGAAGAAGAAGATGTTGAAAACGAGAAATGCCGTTCGGTCTGGTTTCTTCGCCGATCGGTAGTTTTCCTTTACTTACTCTCATTTGCCCGCCTATAACTTTAAAAAGAAATTTTGAAGCGATGTTTCCACCTGCGATATTCAAAAGACTCAAGCTCACAGGACTTTAACAAAGCTGTAACTGCGTGTGTGCATCGGTATCTACCACATATGAAATGGACTGCTAATTTTTGTATTCTTTTGATTTTTGTTCACAACACCTTCTGGTGAGGCGACCCGACCACACAATACTAGCGTACTCTAAGACAGGGCGTATGAATGCTTTGTGAGCAGCTAGTTTTGCATCCGGTGTGGCATGTTCTAGTTTTTTTTTTTTTTAGAAAATACAGTTTTTTGTTAGCCTTAGAACAGATGTTATCGATATGCGAGCGCCATTTTAATGTGTGCATAATACTAACTCCTAGGTATTTGAAACAAGCGGCATTATTTAAAGGGTGACTTCCAATATGATACATGAATGACAATTCCCGCCCACTAGAGTGAAGATGCGTAAATGTAATCTTGCTATAGTTTATTTCCATGTCCCATATTATACACCATTGATCTAACTTTGGTCACCTTTGCAAGTAACTGGGGAATAAATCAAGCAATCATCTGCAAAAAGTTTCATTTTAATAGGAGCCTCAACTATTGAACATAGATCATTAACAAATATTATAAAAAGAATTGATCCTAAAACAGATCCTTGGGGAACGCCCGAGTACACGGCCAGTGATCTTGAAGTGTAATTTTCAATTTTTACAGCCTGTTCACGTGCGGATAAATAGGCCTCTATCCATTTTAATACTTCTTCGCTCATTCCTAATCTTTCAAGCTTGAAAAGTAATTTACGACGAGAGGCCTTATCAAAGGCTTTCCTAAAATCGACACAAATTACATCAGTCTGTAGAAGGGCATCGCTGTTTTTATTGAAATCATGAAGCGTTTCAGCTAATTGTGTCACAGTAGAAAGACCATGCCGAAACCCATGTTGGCCTGTGCAAAGTAACTGGTTAGCATCAAGAAAACTAAGAATATGTTTTGCTATTAGATGTTCCAGAACTTTACAGCAAACTGACGTCAAGGATACGTGCCGGTAATTGTTTACTAACAAACGGTTACCGTTTTTAAAAATTGGAATTACAACTGCATTGTGCCAGTCTTGTGGAAGTGATCGCGTCTCAACCCATTTCACAAATATTATTTCTAAATAAAACGAGATTTATTCTGCGTATCTCTTGAAAAACTCTGTTGGTAGGTTATCCAAACCACTTTCTTTCCTCGCATCTAGCTCAAGCAGTAACTGGAAAACACCTTCATGGTTAATAATAACAGGTTCCATTGCGGTTGTTGCATTATTACTAATTGATGCCCCCATCTTATTGCCCTGGTCTATTGTGAAAATGGATTGAAAGAAGCGATTAAAAGTATCGGCTAAGTCTACAACTTTTGTCAGGATACAACCCACTTGTTCGATCTGCTCAATTCTTTCCTTTCTGTCACTGAAGTAACGCCAGAATTCGGATGACGAACTTTTAAGGAAGTTCACGAGCGTTAGGCTAAAGAACTTTTTTTTTTTTTTTGGAATTCACAAGGGCTTCTTTCAACTTGATTTTTATAGCTGCAACTTTCGTCACTTTTTTTTATTATTTTTTCTTAATCTCTTAATTCGCCGTTTTATGTGGTGTTTAACGTCCCAAAACCACCATATGATTAGTATGAGAGACCCCGTGGTAGAGAGCTCCGGAAATTTCGACCACCAGGGGTTCTTTGATGGGCGAACACGCACGAAGGCCAGACAGAACGAAACAGGTTAACATCTGGCGGTTTCCCTGTTTTGTTCTGTGCGGTCTTTGTGTGTGTTCACTGGTATTATGGAAGCATTCTTTTGCAACCACCTAGCCCGACTCAATGCATTGACGACGTATTTGCATGCTGGCCTTTCCAGAACCAGAGGTCTATGTCGAGAGAGACAGAACTTAAGTACAAGGATGAAATTTTCAAGCTCAAGAAACAGCTGGCCTTGCACAGCAGCTGCTCTGTTACTTTGGAACTACAAAAGAAAGGTACATTGTCATAAGCCTCTTTTTTTTTTTTCTTGTGGTCAGTTTCGAGTGGCCGCGGTCTGCCGTGTACTTGATTTTGGGCCTGTCCACTGACATTACATAGCGAAATTTGGGCAAGTTAAGATGCTTTAGTGGTGAAGAAGTGCGACAACAACTCAACGAGAAGACACAAAGATGAAAAAAAAAAAGGCAGCGCTTGTGTTCACATCTTCTTTCATGTTGTTGTGTGGCTGTTGGACTGGTTTGCCAAAGGCATTAAAGCTTGAGGCAATACAAAGGACGTCTTATTGGGCATGGTATGGGTCACATCATTATTTACTGTTCACTGTCATGCAGAAGCAGTGGAGCAGCTGTTCATGCTCTGTGAACAGCAGCTACTTTCGCACATATTGCTGGGCAGGCAGTTGTCAAAATGTAGAGAGACTGGTATGGCAACCTCTTCGAGAACTTTAATTTGCATGTCCTTTTCCCCATAGAAATGTTCTTCACTTGTCTTCATAGGTGGTTGCAGGAACTGTAGCTTTAGCGGTTACCATTTGTTACTATACCTCACTAGGTATGTTACTGGAAAGTGACAGGGCCACGTTGCTCTGTTTTGGTTATATAATGGAGAATTGACTTTTTGTTTTTCTTGTCAACGGTGTCTAATGTTTACATAGGGACAGTGCGTGTTGCATGTTTTCTTGTCCTTCACTCCTCACTTTTTTGAGTGGAGTCTTCTGAAGCCTAAAAATTGTTTTCTTTTTACCATAGCATCACATATTGTTGTCTTTAGGTCAACATAGCTCTCTCCCCTGTTGCTACAAAACACACTCTGCTTTGAATTTGTCCTGTCAAACAAGTGTGTTATTATTGGCTAATAATTTATAAAATATTGTTTTCATGAAGTGGCAGGCCCGATAAATTTTGCTATTGTCTGTCGTTTTTTTGCAGAGGAAGACAACCAGAGGAATCAGGCAAAGCCAAAAACAGAAATTGTTACTCAGATTCCTGCCCCTCTGACATTTCAGAGAGCATTGGCATTGCCATTGCAAACTGAGCTGTCGCTCATCGTTACCACAAAGGATCCACTGACAAGAAGTGTTTTGAAGTGACGAGTGAATAGAAAAAAAAAACGATGCTTCCATTTTGTGCCTTCCCAACCCTTTGCTGGATAATCGACTTGTCAATTATAACTAGATAGATGACCCATTATTTTGTTGAATCCTGCTGCCTTGTCTCCTATTATGTAGCAACAGAAATCACATGGACGCACAAAATTCCCTCTCATTGTCCCCGTGATGTCTCATGTTATCCATTGATGTGTGGGGTTTAACGTCCCAAAACCACCATACGATTATGAGAGACGCCGTAGTGGAGGGCTCCGGAAATTTCGACCACCTGGGGTTCTTCAACGTGCACCCAACTTTGAGCACACGGGCCTACAACATTTCCGCCTTCATCGGAAATGTCTCATGTTATCCAGACCATACGATGAAGGTCACGTAATTCTGCTGTGTGTGCGAAGATGAGCCAAGTAAACTGGTGCCCGCTCGACTTTCGGCACATTTCTGCATGGTCAGAGCTTGAAGTCGTGTGATCTGCTAAATATTGGAGGCGATGCCCTAAATGTTAACATTGGGCAAGAACATCTGCGTCCAAATGCCAACGGTTTTTGTCGCGCTACCATTGTGCCGACGAGTGTGTGCATTCTCTCACAGTAAGCTTTATGTTTGCGTGTTTTTAGGCCCATTTAGTTGGCAAGCATCTGCTGAATTTTATACTGGTCATAACGTTATGAGCCTTAGTTCATGTAATATTTCCATACTTATACTATCGTCATCAGTGCTTTACTCTTAAGATGAGACAACTTTTTTTTTTACATCGTGTATGTAAAAATGGCCTGGCTTGTCCTTCTTTGAGTGTTTTTTGTCGTGCAGGTGCATGCCGTCGTCAGAAATTGTGACCTATCTATATGTGTTATTGAATTGTTCGGGCTTTTGTGAAATTTTGTTTGTTTCAAAGCTACAGAGATCTTGAAAATGTTTTGACTTCATTCTCAGAGTTATTGGAAGTGCTTGTACACTGTGTATCATATGGTCTTTTAAACATTTAAAGAAGGCTACACCTAGCTGTTATGAGTCGGGACCCAAACAGCAGCTGTATCAACACCATGCAACTTTCAGTAATAGTAGCTGTATGCATTTTAGAGTTTTTAGTGCAACAGCATTGCTTGGCTCATTGTGCAACTTCGCTGTCACCAGAAAGCCGCAACGGAAATGTAAGACATAATCTTTGGTACCGCATGTGTGGTTTGAAAACCAGATGTTCAAACATTAAACTTTAAAAAAATGGAACTTTGGCAGGCAGTTGGCGAGATGATGCCAGAGTCCATGACAGCTTTGTATTAAGTCAGGTTGGAATAGTATGCAGACTGAGACGAATGTATAGACATCTTTTTTTTTTTTTTTGTGTGTGTGTGTGTGTGAGAGAGAGAGAGAGAGAGAGGGAATATATGATACTTTTTCTGTAAAGCCCTACAGTCTACGGTAGCAGGGCTGTATTTTTTAAGGCGTTGGGGTTCGGGAACAGTGGAGGCAAAATAGAATTTAAGCAGATAGGTATTCTGATTAGCGGCTGAAATTAAGGTAGGTGTGAAATTTCAGTATGTCACTACATAAAGTGAACAAAAGAAGAGAAATTTTGAGGGTTTGTTCTTCAGCGTATACACAACATTAATTAGGACTAACAGACAAGAAAGCCAGGAAAAGTATAGGGGATGTTCCTTGGCTATCTTGTCGGTTAGTTCTAGTAATGAGTTATGGCTTGGTGATGCAAGCCACCACTTGATAAGAAGGGTACTGCACCATTCATCTATCCATCCAAGCAAAAGGCAGAGCAGGCAGCTGCTAAGAGTTGACATGTGGCCACTGTAGGTGGTCACTTTGCCCACACCACCCAAAACCCATAAAGAACGTGCAAGACTTAAGGAAATGAAGAGCTTGTATAGCGTCCTTCACTCGGATCTGGAAAGCGCCGTCTACAAGCTTAGTAACCACTCGCACGATGACTTGCAATTTCGTCATGTTTGTGCATCGTACAGTTGCTTAGGTGCTACCATAGCCTTTCTGATGTCTCATTGTCTCCACCTTTAATTGCTGGTCATCAACTGTTCATTTTTTCTGAAAACCGTGAAATAGAGAACTGCTGTCACCAACACATACATCTTTATGTAGCTGAATCTCATTATAATGAAATTGCGTTCAAACTGAAAGTGTATATTTAGTATGTGAATAGTATATTCAGTATTACTGTAGTTAATAAACCATAAGGAAAGAACTATCTTCATTATATTTACAGGCTTGTTATATGTTGATACTACAATGCTTATCAATTCTGAGTAACATTATGAAGCATCTTTTTGCTGCACAAAAGCCTGTTTCAAAGCCACAAGAGTGCCAAGACATTGTCTGAAATGAAGCACAGCATACACATGAAAGTGTGTTATCAGAATAAAAGATCACTTGAAACACTTTTCTCTAAAAGTAACTGTGCAAATATACAAGGCACTGTTGTGTTGTCTAGGCAAAAAGGGCATTTTGTGGGGTGAAGTTGCAGTGTTTTGTTGAGCCCTTTGGCTCTTAGCTGTTACCTACATGGCTGCTTTTTGTTGTATAATTGTGTTGTTCAGGACTTAGTCTTTAGCTGTAATCACCACAGCTGCTTTTTTTTTTTTTTGTACAGAGTATTAAGTGGTTTAGTCACGGTTCTGTTTTGTTTCTGCAGCTGTAATTTACATAGTTGCTGTTGTTCAGCACCCTCATTTCGGTTTTAGTCTGTACATATATTGCAAAAGCGACAAGCTGTTCAACCTCAGACTTGCTGATGCGCTTTTCATGTGCCTTCCAAATAAAGCTATTTAATATAAACATATATATTTTGTAAAATTACTTGTTACTTGACCTTGCCAAATTTCTCATTCCTTATACTACTTTTGTAAAGGTCACACATCATACCACTTCCTGTAGAGGAGTCTCAGAACTTTCATTAAAATATAACATTTAAGATAGATGATGAAGCAGATCATCACACCATGAGTTATGATGTATTTCTTAGTCATCATATCTACTGCTGAATTTGAACAAGATAAGCAAAAGAGTGATTCCTGTAGTTGTGCAGCAGGACTCTCTAACTGTGTAGTCGTTAATTGACTAATCAGGCATTGGGGACACTTTATTATTTATTGGGTAGGCATCGTCCTTGTAATATTATTTACAGTAGTATTGTGTCTAACAAAGAAAAAACTGGCAGATCCCACGCATTAGGGCAATCGATGAAATGCTAAGCAAACGAGCTGTACATTACATGAATAACATGATTTGCATATGTTAGGACCTGTGATTTATGTTCATCATACAGTTACATCGCACGATACCAATGTCAGTGTATGCACACCATGAGCGTGGCATGTAAATGTTGTGCATGACGTGCATGTCATCATTTTCATGTTACCGTGTGCCATTCATGTTCGTCATAGTTACATCACGTGATACCAATTTCGGTGTATATCAAGCCCTAAGCACACCAAGAGCGGGGCACACGGGAACCATGAGCATACGGGAATCGATGCCACGTCATCATTTTCATTTTACCATGTGGTATTTATATGGCCATTATTTCATCACATAGCCCAGTACCAAAGTAGGTACATCTCAAGCTAGCTAAACTGCCACTAACGCACCATAACCATGGCATTTCTGCGATGCCATACGTGACATGCATGTCATGTGAATCATGCCGTTCATGACAAGTATGGCATGATCTTCGAGATAATTAAGACCTGGCATTTATGTTCGTCATGCAATCATGTTATGCCATACCAATTTTACGGTCAGGAGAACCTAATGTCGTAAACGAATAGACAAGTTAGTGCACAGCAGAGCAGAGCAGGGCAGAGCAGAGCAGAGCAGGGCAGAGCAGAGCAGGGCAGGCAGGCAGGAAGGAAGGAAGGAAGGACATGCTAATAGTCGCTGACAGTAGCCAACAAATATTTCGCATCTAAAACCAGCCCTTACTAAAATTCCGCTTCTTTACTTCAACTCATAACGAACAGAAACACAAAATCACTCAGCACACACTCGGATTTCTATAAATATGCATGTGTTGGTAAACTGAACAGTCGCACGCGGCGAGTGCAAGGAGCAAATCAATCGTATAAAAAAAAAAACTATGTCCAAGACATTACATAAAAGTATGCGCGTCAAACCAGTTAGAGCTACTACCGCGAGCTTATTGCTCGCTTCTCTTTATTTTGTTAACTATTCAAGTAGAGCAAACTTTTCTTAGCGCAAAGTTTCGGCCACGTTCATCTCCAGCTACGCGCTATTTAGCGTCGCCGTAGCACAATGGTCTGGCAACATAAGTTACTGTTTCGGGAGGGGAAATGTGTTGTGTTTTCATATCAACGTAATTTCGGTCTCGACCTTTGGGCCGAGCTGATTATTGTTTATCTTTCACGCTTTCGCGCCTGAAGTCACAACGTTTTCGATCGCTGGAATATTCAACAGCTAGAGTCGGTCATGCGGCAAGTAGCTACGGAGGTATCTTGCGCGCACCGAGCTATCCGTGCGATATGGCATCGCCGGAGAGGGCCCGTCGGCCTAATGTAAACAACCGACGTCCTGCTCTGTGAGCTTCGGATCGCTGCTGGAACTACGAGTCGGAACTTTTAGGACGGCCCATGGGTGTAAATGCACATGGCCAGTGACGTGAACAGTGAATCTAGTGGGAGTGATTCCGGCTCAACTCCGGAAGAAGAGCGCATCCGACGACTCTTCCAGACTTGCGATGGCAACGGGGATGGATACATTGACAGGCTAGTGAAGCTCTGATCGCTTTTCTAGCTGCAGTTTCCGCTGAACTTGTTTGAGATTTGTCACGAATAGGCCAAGTCCCGGGTCAAAATCATTGTAGTTCATCAAACAAAATACGCTGCGGATATGTAGATCGAAGGGCGTTAAGTGGTTTCAAACGTTACCAGTCGCCGAAATGTTCCTTAACAGCGAATAAATTTGCAGATATCTTTTCCCCTCTCTCTTTAGTTTACCCCAAAGTGTAGATGACAGCACCTTCGCATAGTTTCCATGCTCCCGTGACACTGTTAGGAAGCTTCTAACGCGTGTTAAGTGCGCGAAATTTATGCCGATGAGCGAGCTCGCATTAAGGCTATCACAGCAAATTGCAGAGACTTCAGCTAATTATTTCATCAGCACTATTAAGGGTGCATTCCTTGATGTACCCCGCATAAAAAGGTGTCCTTTCGAATGGTGGTTATTCTGATCACGCCTTGTTGGCATAGGTCGGCAAAACTTGTGCTCACACAGACTCGTGAAGTATATTTTGCGCTTAAGGCTCACTCGGACGCGCCAGTATTGACCTGGACTCGCTCGGACTCAAACTCACTAAAATATTTTTGATCTGGACACACTCAGACACACGGCTTAATCTGGGTCTGAGTGAGTCCGAGAAAGTCCACTCGTGGGTCTGTTAGTCTAGAATCAGCTTTTTCGACCACGGTGTTGACGCTCTGTAACACCAATAGCTCATGTAATCTGTGCTCTTCTTGGCGCCTTTTGATAAAGTACCACCGAATACGCGTTTATGTGCTCACACAGTAAGGTCATGTTTCTTAAAAAAAGATGACAACAAAAGATATATTTATCAATTACTTTCCTGGAAGAATTAACAAAGAGGTGGACAAAGCACTCCCCCCCCCCCCCCCCGCCTATTAATTTGTGCCTCTGATCAGTAAATATTAAAATGAAGTATGAACAACACTGCTTTGGAAAACATGTGAGTAGATGTGAGTATATATAAATGTGAATCCAAGTAAGGCTGACAGTAATGCTGAAGATGAGTAGATAAAGGTTTCATAGGTCAGCAAAAAAAAAAAAAAAAAGAAGTGGAACTCGCAGTCACTCAAGAAATTTATCTTGCACTTTGGACTCACTCCGACTCAGAGTCGCCAAAATTTTCGTGAGCCAAACTCACTTGTACTCACGCTCTTGAAAATTTCCTTCAACCGGGCTCACTCGGATACATATTCACCAACATATTACTTAACCAAGCTCACTCAAACTCTCAGCTCTATTTGGGTCTGAATGAGTCTACTCGTGAGTGAGTTCACCGACCAAAGCCTGTTGGCGAGTTGCACTCTGTGCTTGAACACTAAAGGCTGGAAAACAGTCCAGAAAATAATTATAAAGCATCAGTTTCTCGTGTTTCCCTTGCAAGATGATTGACTAAACAGGTAATATAGGTGCAAGTTAAGTGAACAATAGGAGCTTGTATACTTCATTCCAATTTCTCCTAAAACTTTGAAAGGATTCAATACATCGATTGCCTACAGCGTACGTGTCTAGTACCAATACATGCATCATATGTGGGCTCAACATTTGCCTCTTCTTATGATGTGATTCATTTCTCAATAATAGGTACTCAGATACCAAGATTTAGTGTATATATGTTTTTATGCAGGAATGTCACCTCAATGTTTTTTTTTTATCTTTCTTCTGCCTCAAGTATCATAATAAAAGAAAATTTTGCTTCAATTAATTTCTTGTAGCTGCAGCCAACTACTTAGTTCTTGCATCTGCAGCAGATGCTTGCCATCTACTATGGACATGGCCTGTGTACGATGACCAAACGGTGAAAGTGCACTTGGTTCTGTGAAGTTGATAAGTGCACAATCTAATGATTAGGGACCATGGCTTTTACACTGTACATTCTCTTACAAGTCACGTTTTAAGTATCTGCGTGAAACAGACCTCGGATTGTAATTTTATTCCAATAGTATGTCACTTGTAAACCTTATCGAACTTGAAAATTATGCTTACCCTTGGAAGTTTAGCGCAGCAGTACCGATCGACAGAGTGATCTTCCTAACATGCCGCCTTTTTTTTTTTTTTTTTTTTCTCTTGTCACGACAACTTAGCCAAGACCTGTTGGCAGTGTGCCGTCAGCTGAACCTTGAGCACAGCGTCGCTGAGCTAATGGAAGAGCTTGGAGCTGATGAAGATGGGCGCATCTCGTACGCTGTGTTCCTTCGAAGCCGCATGCAACTTATGGGCGAGATCAAAGCCCTCACACATCAGGAAGAGGAAAAGGCGCTGGAACACTGCCCCACTACATCAGCGCAGGCTTTGTGTTCTTGGAAGGCCGGAAGTGATGCTAGTCAAGGTACGATATATGTTGGTGCCAACAGAAATCTTGACAGATATAATGTGAATATACCTCTATGAACCAGTGCGTGCCATTGAGAAAGAGCATCTTCTCCATAACATTGAAGAGTTTTAGTGGTGGGTACCTAGCCATTGAGTTATTTTGTCCTTTTCTTGTGGGCTGCTGGTGAACTGAAGAATGCAAGGTACTTGGCACCTCAAGCACTTGGGGACCGCAACACTAACTTTCTCATTTTCAGAAATAGTGTTTGTAAGACAATGCATGGTGATTCAGTTTCATTAAGCAAAAATAGGGACTTTAAGCTAAATGTTGCATATAGTAGTGTAGCCCTCAGTACTAGCAATGAAGTCTGAACACATTTTCTTTTAAGCTTGTGTTGTCTGAAATTTTAATGCATTAATGAAAACTATGTGTGATAAATGCATTTACTTTAAATGAACTGACAACCAGCTAGAACGTGTCACAAGACACTGTTGGAAGTGAAAATACTGTCAATTTTTGTGACAAAATTGAGTACTCTGTTTCTGTATTCAAGCTGCACTTAAAATTCACAAAAATCAGTACATCGTGTCGCCTGGTGACAAGCCTTGGCACTTCACAGATGAGTTGTTCGGATTGCTATACCTAGGAATGCTGTCATTAGGTTCACAATTCCTGCTGAAAAATTATTATCTGTACATTACTTGGCATTCTTGCTTTGTTCTGCCTCTTACTGTGAAGTAAAGGTGATGACACTGAGAAGTGGTGCTTCCTTCACAAGAACGAGTGAAGCCAAATCCATCTGTGGCACATGCTCCCAGTGTACATACTTGCAGCGAACCACAGCAAACAAACACAAACTGCTATAGTACTCATGTACTGCTGTTTGCAGCATGTGTTGTGTGTACAACTTATTCAGCACTGAAGATCGAAAAGTTTTGATCCCAGATGTTTCACAGTGTTTTCTGTCTTGCCACTCCATGATTAAAGCCTCTGACTAGTAAGCTTTCTATTTAACTAAAGAAAACAGGTACCATAAAAAGTGGTCGTCAGTCTCTTTAAATATTTTTCTTGGGTCTCATTTGAAGCGATTATATCAAGCCATCAAGCCAAGTGGTTTCAAGGATGGGCATAGTCCTTTGATTCTATATTGCGACAATTCACAGCACATTTCCTTTTATTCTGCCTTAAGAAATTATCGGTTATGTTTTACTGTTCTGTGGTTGCCACAGGAGCGCTGTCCGAACGGCACGAAAGTTGGGAGTTCGACTCTGGCACCAGAGACTTGAGCCCAGAGCCTAACACACTGCAAAGGTTGATGGAAGCTTCTGGGGGACCCATACCTAGCAACACTACCGACTTGCTTGAACTGGCAAATAAAGTGAGCGAACAAGCTTTTCAGTACCTAACATAACGTTCCAACGTGTTGGGATTTTTCGCTCATAACACTGCACTTCCTTTCCCACCAGTTACACTTGGCTGCTATATCATCGCTGAAAAACGAGGTGTACGACCTCGCCGGTCGGCTGCAACAAGTGTCCCAGGAGAAAGATGCACTGGAGAGGAAGCTGAGTAAGCGGCAGCTCCAACGCATGCAGGTTGCCCGAGACCAAGAAGACCGGCTAGAGCAGCAAGCGCAGCGTTACGAGGAGCGCATCACAGAGCTCCACAGTGTCATTGCCGAACTCTCCAAAAAGCTTGACATCCAAAGAGCTGCTGTGATCAAGTCAGTGTCTGTCTCCTTTGGCTGTGCGCTCATTTCACTCACGCTTTTTCTTTTAGGTGCGAGGCACCTTTGGAGATTGGCTTGTCAATGCCTAATGACCTCGCTGTGTGTCATGTAGCCACAATTTATCGTAAACGGTATGCGTCGCAAAAATTGGGTATATCGCACTACTCGCCACCAGTCCTCTGAAAATGTAGAAGGCCACAGTGGCCCAACAAGTAGTTGATGGCCTAGAAGCACTCTTCCCTACATGCCATAGGGCATGTAGGACAGAAGGAGGAAGAAATAAAAGCCCCTGTCATTGGGAAAGCTGCATTCAGACACTGTTTCCTAATGACATTGGTCGAGTGGAAACGCTCTTCACTACATTCTCAGTTTCAGGCTTGGTACCACTAGTGCCTGATCAAACAAATCTCGAAACACTGCATGCATCACCCATCCCCAGGTTTCTCGTTAGTGGAGCACCCTCCCCAGTTTTTTTTGTTTGTATACTTTGATCAGGTTCCTCTAATAGTGAGCAGGCTTAAAGTACTAATAAAGCACGTTGTGGTCGCCGCTTATTGTAGCTCTATTTTAGTAACTGCTTAGTACACACGGCTGGTATGCACAATTGTTCTATATAACCACATCATGTTGCGATAAATCTGGTCTCTCGTAATAGTGTTGGCTCCGGTCTATGCATCCGAGTCAAAATCACACCGATATGAACTTAAGATGGTAGAAGTGAAAGTATGTGCATCACTTAGCCCTAAAGTGTCTAATTTCAATCTACAAGTGAAATGGGACTCCTATATTTGCCACAAGTACACTCATCACTGGACAGTGGGAACAACAATAATCATGAGCCAGGAATACATGGACATCACTGAAATACCAGTTGACTCTGGCTTCAGGTTGCCTGGACATTGCTAAGTTCAATTACAGTGTGCTTATCTTGTTTGTCTGTATGTGCACGTAGCTGCACTGAGCCATAAGTGAGGTACAACCAAACTCTAGCATGCTTGTGTGTTTATAGCCTAAAGTAACACAGAAAATTAGTGCATTAATTAAGCTTGGTATACAAATGAATGAAGTTTCTGTTGTAAAAAGCATTATCTTGGAAACATTATCAGCACTAATGTGATTTCCAATTGGAGTTTCGGACTTTCCATTTCTTGGAGTGGTAATCGCAAAGTGAGAAAGGTAATGAGGAATGTGATCCTGGAGGCGTGATAACGGGCATGTCAACTTGCTCTGACGCCGGCAATAATGAAGGGATTTAAAAAAATGCCTCCCTTATACGTTCCCTGCATAGCACCTTAGAACTTCCAGCAATTAACCAAATTTTCATAATGAAGCCTGCAGTACGGCTGTCTTATTTGCATATACGGCTCACAAAACACACATACAGATTTCGTTACACTTGTGTACATCTTCACCGACATCTATTCATCCATGGTGCCTGTTCAAAACAATGACGTGATTGACACAACGAGTCATTACATTATGTAAACAATTATGCTATCAATTTATGCATTCCCATCTAGGGAAGAAGATGAGTACAGTCAACAGTCGGGAGATGAATCAAGAATCAGCGATGTCCTGAGCCACTGCACAAGCAACGAAAACTTAGCTACGGAGTCCATCAGCGACAAAGGTAGCCGCTGCATCCTGCTTTATGGACCTATACTTTTTCATGTCTTGTTGTCTTCGGTGATACTTTTACAGTGCATGTTGCTTGCACTGGTAGAAAGGCAGAAGACCCCCATTTTTTTTCTCATCTTTTCTTCTGTTTAATTTCAGACAACGAATCACCGCCAGAGTTCACTGATGTTATTTCCGGAAAGTGTGCCACCACGGAAGTGGTCATGCCGGTGCAAGTTCACGAAGGAGAAGATACCAGTAGTGGCCTTGGAGACAATGAAAGTTTGGACGAGAAGCCCCAGGTATTGCAATGATGCCCCCAGAAATACCTGCATGTTTGTGTGTTCAGCCTTTGTGCAAGGCTTATACCAATCATACTGTAGCACACTGGGGATGACAGTAAACAGTGGAGAAAGACGTGCATCCTGAGAACCCCAGGTGGTGAATGTTAAATACAGTCCTCCACTGAAGCCTCTGTTTTAGTCTCAATGGTGTTTTGGAATGTTAAAGCTCGCAAAGGAATCGATTGATTGTACAAATTTCTCCGCAAGGACCGAGTCACGGCAGTGTCATTATCTGTTTGCACGTCTGAACAGTTCCGTCCTCCCTGTTGCTGACCAGAAGTTTCAGCAAAGAGTTGGTCCAGCTGCATGCTTGCAAATGTCCATGTGCAGGGCTTTCGAAGTAGCAGTAGCAGCCACGGAGTGCGGGGTGGTCACGTGACAAGCGTGGAGCATCGTGCCACATCGTGTCAAAGCCTACAGGCATCTCAGATGCAGGAGGAAATGGCGGCCCTGCGGTCGCAGAATGTGAGTCTTCAGGAGCGGCTAGCACGCCAAGAAGCAGACTTGCAGAGGGCAAGGGCTGCTACGGCTGCGCTACGTGAGGACAGGGACCGATTCCAGCGCAAGGCGAGTTTTTATTTTCGTGTCCGACAGACTACAACTCCGTGCAGAACTGAGCATCGACCCTGCCCACTTTTGATTTGTGCCTCACTGATTTTTTTGCTCAGGAGCAAAAAGCTGCATTCATGTAAATTCACATGAATTCTGTTGCCTTGGCAATGTTCATCTTCATTGTCACAAATCCCGCAATATCCCAAAGGGCTGTTCTGTTTCTTAAGTAAAGCTTTCTGAACGAACATTGCTGGTCTGATGGTAGAGCAAACCTTTGTCTCTTAGCACAACGGTTTGACACTGTAGTGATCAGGCCAGATTTGCACAGATGCTTCCTGTGCGTCATCTCCAGGTATCATTTTAAGACAAGAATGTGATGCCATGTCACATAGCATGTGTGCTCTAGAGAACCATCAAATAAATTATAGCATGTGCATTCGACTTGCATAGTTTTTTTGTAGCTTGTAGAATTAGAACATAGTGGCTGAATAATGAAGGAATTATAGAGGTTTTCTGAATGTGCTGTTGCATCGCAGCACTAAAACATTTTAACTAGGAAATAGAAAACATTTCACTCTGTAACATATGTAGTAGGATGTAATAATGCAAGCTTTCGCCTGTGAATGGGTAGTAATTGAAGAGAAGTTTGCAAAACTGACCCCGAAGTTTTAACTGCCAACTTCCTCAGGTCCGTGACCTCCAGCAACGTGTAGCCGCGAGTCCCCAGAGTAGCTGCAATCAGATTCCAGGTGGCAGCGCATCCCCATTAACTGAGCAGGCAGCGCAACCTGTGGCCAAGATGGCTGAGCGTGTCCGTTTGCGCAAGACGGAACCCCCTGCTTCACCGAGGCTTATTCTTGGATCAGAGATGGCAAACCTAGGGGTGAGTAGAGCCTGCAGTATTTGAAATAGTCACATTTCAACCTATAAAAACAACTGGTCAACTGCATAGACACAACATGGAAGCCAGTTACTGACCGATTATTCAGATGGCTTTAGACCAGCTGCCATTTGTCCCGTGCATCACCCTAGGCTTCCAACAGTGCTCTGTCCTCTGCCTGCATGACCATGTGCTAATTGTGCCATCTGGCCAGAAAGAACAATGCCTTTATTTCTGAACATTGCCAGCATCTAGTTGAAGTTGAAAGTATCTAGCCTAGTCTAACCAGTTGTCACATTCTCCACGCGAACTGTTGGACTAGCCTAGCCAAGTTGAGCAGCTGAGATGTAAGGCTGCAGCTACGTTTGTCGTGAATTTTTACGTGTTCAGTGTTTTTTCTTAATGGGCTAATTAAATAGCAATACATAAGTGGTGACCATTTAATTTGTGCATTATTATGTCACGTACCGAGCAGTCAACAGAGCTTTGTCAAGCGACAAATGAAAACGTAGGGTGTTTCTGTCAGACGAGCTCTCAAAGAGAGGCATGCATCATCTGTGAAGCCTCAGTGAGCGACAGTGAAGCTCGAAAATCTAATGGGAACGCATATTGGGTCGAGCAAGATGGCCACTACTAATGGTGACTGTTGTAATCATCGATGTGGGGTGTTTTAGTTTGCACAATGAGCACTGTCCTCACATTGCTGCGCTGGTCAAGGAGGCTGGACAACATACACAACACATGTGCAAAAAAAAATCAAGGTAAGTTCAAGAGAGTCAACAGCCAGTTGGCTGTTGGCTCTTTTGACAACAACAGCCAACAGACAGCATTGCTAGGCGTTGGACAAATCAGTGAGAGAAATAGTAGCCAGCTGCTGTATTGATCTGTGTGTGCGGTGCCCTTTATGCAGATCTCCAGCAGCAAGGTAGCTGAACAGCTCGTGCAACAGCTGCAAGAAGAGGCACACACCCAGGAAGCCATTGCTGCCCAGCGGCTCTGCTCTTCGGGCTCTCCCCTTCCCGAGGGCCGTGTACGGGAATTCGAAGTGGAGATAGAGCGTCTAAGCAGCAAGGTATGTGTGTGTGTGCTAATGTGTGCTCGGCATTGGGCAACCACATTCTATGTCCCTGTGACACATGTACAAGTTACCATGGAACTTCATTTAGTCGCGCAACTCATGCACTGTGTGTTATTTCAAGGTGGAGCACCTCCGATGTCAGAACGACCTCCTTCAGTTGGCATTGGAGGAGAGCCGAGGCCAGTGCGACCGGCTCAGCGTACTCCTGGGAAAGCACGAATCAAACCAGACCGCATTGCAACTGGCCTTGGCCTGTAGCGATCGAGCTCTAGAGGCATTTGATGCGTTGTTGGCCTTAGCTGACACCGGTCGACCTATGGCAAACTACAGAGCAGCCTCTCCTTGTGAGTAGTTTTTCGCATTGCAAAGTCGCGACAATCAACGAAAAATGGCAGGCTGTGGTGGCTAACTAACTACGGCGTCACACTGCTAGAGAGTCATGAAAACAAATACCCACCGCAGTGGCCACATATAAAATGAAGCTGAAATACAAAACCCAAGCATTGTACTAACAAAAACTGAGTATTTGAGGAGTATTTCAGCCATACAGTTATCATAACCTGCTTTGCGTACTTTCATTGCATTATCACTTCAGTGCCGGCACTTCCTGGTCACAAACGGTGTGTGCAATATCACTGTGACATAGCATTCTTCAAAGGAAAGTGGCAAGAGCCAAATTTTCAAGAAAAAAAAAAATGCAAGCAAGCCAGATAACGATTATAGTTGTGTGGCAAGAATCCAGTCTCTCCCACAGTGGCATTCTTTATAACTAGATGTTGATTTTTATGAATGAAGCTCTGGAATCCTAAAATTCAATTTTGTTCCCAGCCATCTCCCAGCTGATTCAAGTGACTATCCTCAAAACAACGCTTTATCATTCAAGAGAAGTTCAGAATGGCAACAAATAACAATGCTTGCAAATCATCTCGCATTTAGGAAAGCCAATTGTCTAGAAAATTCAACGAAAGAGCTCACTGGTGCACGTATTTGTGTGCTTTCTAATATGGAAGACCTCAGTTATTTTGCATGCTATGTTATTTCTCTGTAGAAAATGGAAGTGAAATGCCACAAGAAATGGAAAGGTGGTGACTGATGTTACAGTCGTTACCCAAGTACTAATGGTGATAAAGTGATTGGAGATGCTCTCTTAGGCAATTGTATGAAGATCAATCGAGCCTGCGTAAAGCAAGTTTTGAACTTTTTTCAGTGGAGGAAGAAGAGATGATGTGTCGCGCCCAAGAAGAGCGACGGCTAGCCGAGGGTCTAGCCCGGCAAGTCCTTCACCGGCTTGACCGACATTGTGGGGGTGCCTTGGCAGTGACCTCACCAGGATGTGTAGCAGCCAGCCCCTGGGAGGACCTTTCCTCCCACAGCCACACAACCAGGTATCTCTTTCTCTTGCACTTTCATCCAACAGTAGGCCCCTTGTAATGCTTTTTCTCCCAAACACATTACAATAAAAGTAACATTAATTCAGCTCTGGTGGCTGCATGTCAATAGAGAACAGAGTATAAAAAAGCTAACGTAGTGAGCGTCTTCTGCAAGAACATCTGCTGGCCTAAATATGTTTACCCTTAAACCTGGAACTAGTGTTTTAACGAAAAGGCTTGGGTAGTCACAGAAGCCACACAAATCCTTAAAGAATGCAAAAAACATGTCTGATGAGATATTGGTGTTATGGAAAAAAAAAACACTTGAAACTCAGTTTAGTATGTTTTGGTACATTGTTTATGGAAAAAAACACAGTTGAAATTCAGTCCAGTATATTTTGGTACATTGTATGCACAGTTCTCCACGGTATAAATTACATAAAAAATATTATTTTCAAATTACTACAATTGTTGAAGCCACGCAATGATTGTGTGTTTTGAGTTGAATGGTTCACAGCATTTGCGGAACCTAGGGGTCCCTGGCTGTTCCTATGCTATTGTACCAAATGTTAAAAAGAAATACTTGAAGGACCGAGGTATTTGGATAGAACAAGTGTTGTGAAACCATGACTAAAGTTCACACTAGCATGAACATCACTTCTCTTTAGCACTTTGGCAAACTTAGGCAGCATGTGTGTTCGTTACTGATGTTTTCCTGTCTTTTTTCCCGCAGCACAACCAGTTCGACTTCTAGCAGCTGTGATGGCGGTGAGCTGACCAAGATTGAGGAGCAGCGCCTGCGGGAGCATCTGGTGCAGCTGCGCGAAGAGCGCGCAGCGTTGAGAGCCACGCTACTAGAACTTGAGAGTGTGCACATAGAACCGCGCGGTGCCTCGACCCTCTTGGACGCCCACAAACTTGACCTTGAGAATGCCGTGCTCATGCAAGAACTTATGGCTATCAAGGTCAGTCTTCTGGAAATCCAAATCTACAGGTCCATTCTGTTAGTGATGTTGATGCAGTTGTGAAAAAAAAAAAAAACTTCAGTCAGTCTATGTTCTACTTGCGGACTGCACAGTCAGGAAATTTAGTCTCCCATGACGGCCAGGACAGTGAGGAAGTTTGGAGTGGTAAAGGGGGGAGGGGGGCTATTTGAAGAAAATGTCAGCTAACGCTGCCAAATGAAAGAGTGTCTTTCGCTTGTCTTGTACATTAACCACTTCCGAAGGAGATGAAGTGTGAAAAATCCAAGAAACGTATCAATACCAACCTCCAAAATGACAGAATTATAGATGATTATTTTTAAATGTCGGTATATTTCACGGTTATGATTTAACACATGGTTACCTCATTGGGTGCCTCATAAGCAAATGCTCATAACCAGTAACGTCTGTGTAGCTCAGAAACATGTACTCATATGAAAAAGAAAAATGAGACAGACACAGACATTTTTGCGCAAACCCACAAGTAAAAGGTCTGCAGAATGCGTGTTCAGGAGCCTTGATGATATTGATATTGATGATATTGTAGCAGGCACATTAGACAATAGGAGGAACGCCTGCTTATCCATATTTGCAGCTTTTCTTGACCATAATTGAAGCTTAATCTTCCTCTCCTTTTGCTTTCAGCCTACTTCTATGCACTGTTTGTTTCGTGCAATCTTGTCCATTGCAATATCTAGCACCAAAAGGAGGCAATGTTGTTTACCAAGAGGTGTAAACACATGGAAGCCTTGCAGTTCATAATAAGGTGGTTGATTTATTTAGTGGTTGATGCATTTGAGTGATCATAAGTCACGATATTATCACCGTTATTTTATGTAGTGTGATTTGCTAGTGCTTCTTGAAAGAGCGCAGACACAAAAATTTTGCATCTTGCTTTTTCTGCTGCAATATATAGCTGAGGACTTCCATATCACGGCTGGAAAGCTCTTTTCTTTAAACGCACGATGTTTAATTGTTTGGGAAGAACTTTATACCACCCAGTTGATACCACCCAGTTGCAGTTATGCTTTCAGAGAGCGCGAGTGAGACGGGACCTAGACTAGTTTTTGTGTAAACATAGCTGGCTATGTGAGCACAAAAAACCTCATTAACGTGAGCACCGCATTGACAACTCTTTTGAACGAAGGCTACCTTCGAGACGTAAATATGAGTGCCCCTCAGAGTATGTACTGTCAAGGCAAGGACATCAGCCTTTGTACTCCTGTGCAAGCCTGTCCCCACTTTCCATTGAAAAGGTCTGCTAGGAAAGAGTACTTACAAGGATCACAGAAGCCAACAGAAACTCGTGGTGCAGGTGGTGGTTGGTTGCTGACAAGGAAACCAGAGGCGGGTTTCGCATGCGGTGTCGTTGCATGCACATTTAAATTGATTTTAGATGTGTTCTAGGCTATATTATTCATTCATGGCTTGTATAGATGATGTGTATGTGTCTACACAAATCTGTCCCACAAGTTACAGATCTCGCCTTCAAAACTTTGTGCCAGCACTCCTTATTAACAAAGTTTCCATAGCCACCAGTGTTTTGGAAAGACTCAGAGGTTTTCTTTTACTGCTGGAACATTAGAAATCTCTCAAACTAAGACCCTTACATTTTTAAGAAAACTTCAGAATGTACTCCTCCACTTGCATTAGATTTGATCTGCCCAGAGCCATTTGCATTCAAACAAACACTAACAGGTATAGAAGCAGAATTTATGAGCTAGTTCCGACAGCCATGCAAGCAAGGAACTCGCGCTTCATTGTAGTGATGCCCATGCAGAATACAACGCTGCCTTGAAAAGCCAGTAAATAGGCTTTTAATATTGTCTGGCTCTTTAATATTGTCTGCGAACTTGTTTTGACCATTAATACCTCAGTAGTGAGCTCCCATCATCTGTCGCCGTTTTGTAATTCAGTTTGTGCTCACAGCAAGCAGAAAGTTTAAGTTATACAAAAAGCTTTCTTTTTTTTTTAAGATTCAGCTGACTTTAGAAAGTGAAGTGATAGCAGTCCAAATGAAATTCTGAGATTTGTCCTTAATTAATGATACTTTATTGCCAGAGTTAGTAATTGTCTTGAGTTAATCGTAGTTTTGAGTGTCACTTGTGCGGAGAACTAGCAGGGGTAGCTGACATTGAGAGAAAAAAGTGTGCGTAGGCAAATGCTGTAATGCGAAGGAAAGATAACCAATGGTCAGCTAGAATGATGGAATGGATGTCAAGAGCTGAAAATGGCAGAGAGCTTGATGAGACAATAAAATTAAGAAAATTGCAGGCATAAAATGAAATCAGCTCGTGCAGGACAGGGCAACTTTGAGAACATTGGGAGAGGCGCTTGTCCTGCCATGGACATAATATAGGCTTATAGGATGGTGATAACGATGAACCATAGTTGAGTCTGACATCTGTTTACAGGAGGAAAAGGCTGAGCTGAAGGCCCAGAATTACCTGCTAGAGAAGGAGAAGGCCGCACTGGAACTCCGAGCTGGCAGTTGGGAGGCCCGAGAGCAAGCCTATCTGATATCCATGGAGCACCTCAGGACACAGTTGGTGGATGCACGGCCATCTCAGCAGCCTCCACTGAGACTGGCAAGTGATTTTCAGAACATTTGAATTTTGGAGTTTTACATGGCAAATTTTCAACATTATTATCTTTCGGGTGCCACCATGCACGTAAGTTTAAGCATGCTAGCGTTTTTTGCCTTTCAGCCCCACCAAGATGTGGCCATCAACTCCAGGAATAGAGTCCACAATCTTGTGCTTAGTAGCACAATTACCATATTTATAAAACTACCTGGGCAAATGGTTTTGCTTGGAGCCTGTAACCAACATGTCTTAATGTGAATACATTCTCACGGCTGTCAGGGCATCTTGAAAGGTTCCTTCATTTTCTTGATTTTGGAAAATGTTGGGATAGAATATGCTAGCTGTCTAAATTAAAATTGCTTTTATTTTTCTGTAGTGTCAAATTTCAATGACAAAAGAACGGACTGGGCATACAAACAGGTGGTTGCTAGACTGGTAATGTGGTAATGACCACAAGTTATTTGGCAATCATCTGACAAACATTGGTAGTGATTATCCAAGTTCATCATCATCATCATCAGCCTGACTACGTCCACTGCAGGATAAAGGCCTCTCCCATGTTCCGCTAGTCAACTCGGTCCTGTGCTTGCTGCTGCCACTTTATACTCTCAAACTTTCTAATCTCATCTGTCCACCTTACTTTCTATCTGCTCTTAGCCCGTTTGCCTTCTCTGGGAATCCAGTCCGTTATCCTTAATGACCACCGGTTATCCTGCCTGTGTGCTACGTGCCCGGCCCATGTTCGTTTCTTCTTCTTGATTTCAACTATGATATTCTTAACCATGGTTTGTTCCCTGATCCACTCTGCTCTCTTCTTATCTCTTAAGGTTACACCTACCATTTTTCTTTCCATTGCTCGCTGCGTCGTCCTCAGTTTAAGCTGAACCCTCTTTGTAAGTCTCCAGGTTTCTGCTCCGTAGCTAAGTACCGGCAAGATACAGCTGTTATATACGTTCCTCTTGAGGGATAGGTAGCAATCTACCAGTCATGATGTGAGAGTGCTTGCAAAATGTACTCCACCCCATTCTTATTCTCCTAGTCACTTCAATCTCGTGGTTCGGCTCCGCGGTTATTACTTGTCCTAAGTAGACACAATCTTTTACAACTTCATGTGCACTATTACCTATCTCGAAGCGCTGTTCTCTTCCGAGGTTGTTGTACATTACTTTCGTTTTCTGCAGATAATTTTAAGACCTACCTTTCTGCTCTCCTTGTCTGATTCAGTAATCATGACTTGCAATTCGTCCCCCGAGTTGCTCAGCAATGCAATGTCGTGTGCGAAGCAAAAGTTGCTAAGGTACTCTTCATTAACTTTTATCCCTAACTCTTCCCATTATAGGCCTGTGAAAACATTTTGTAAGTATGTGGTGAATAGCATTGGGGAGATTGTATGCCCTTGTCTTACACCCTTCTTGATTGGTAATTCCGTCGCTTTCTTTATGGAGAACTATGGTGGCAGTTGAGATTATCCAAGTTATCCCTACACTAATCCACAGGTTGAAGATGGATAGGTGGAAGGAAAATTGTCCATTTTCACCAGCTTTGTATGTATGGCAAGCAAAAACCCATTGACTTCTCTACACATATACAAAGTAGGCTGGTTACTCTAAACCAAATAGATAATGGCTGCTGTCAGTCCCGCTAGCCAAGATGTGTTTCGTGGATGTGTACAAGCTCCTAGCGACCTATACATCTAACCTCACCATAAAGAGGCTTTAATAATATCTTATTCTGTGCCCTGTTATGACATTTGGGGCTATTACAAACATGTTCTCGCAGTCGTGTATAAGAAAAAAGGAAGTTTTCTTGCAATTCATATTTCACGTGAGAAGGAAAAGTGTATTTGTAGCTCCAGGACTTCCACTGTGCAAATGTGCACAGAGAACTTTTATGCAGTTTGAGGTGCTGTTGTGGCTCGATTGCTGAGCTTCACACTTCCTTGCAGGAAGGCACCAGCCCAGAGATTCAGGAGCTTGCCGAGTCCCAGAAGCGGGAGAAGAGCCTCAAGGCACGCGTCGACGAGCTTGTTGCTACCCTGGAGAAGATCACCAAGAATGCCGAGCTTCGCTCGCGGCAGTCAGCAGAGTTTGTCGACGACCTCAAGAGGGCCAACAGGCAAGGCCTTTGTCTCACTTGTGTGTTTAAGGCTTTTCGTTCTTGTGGACAGGCCACCCCTCGGACTTGGTGAGAATGTCTACCCTTTGGGAAGCAGGCACTGCTTTGAACAGCTCCGCCAAATCTTGTAGCCGTGCATGGAAAGGAGCATTTATGAGGGGGAGCATGGAGTTGCACCTTTCCCAAGCGTGCTCTCTTCATAGAGCAGATTGCTGCCATTGGTCGACAGCTGACGTAAACCCATGGCGGCGCTTGGATCAGATTCGCTTCTTGCCACAAAGTGCTGCCACATGCTGGCGCCACACTCCGTGGTCAGTTAACATTACACAGTTAGCCACACTCACACACAGCAATCACAATGGAAGAGAGTGACCACATTTCATTACATGTGCTCAAGGTTATGATGCACGTTTGTTAGGCTCATGCAAATATTCGAGCACTTCGAATATTCGAATTCGAATGAATGATACAGTATTAGAATTCGCTTCAAACGAATAGGCATATATTAACCTGGTGGAGCTCTTTCACATCTTGCATAAGCAGCTCAGAAAGCCCATGATACTGCGGTAATGTTAAACCTTACTGTCCCAACGTCATAGCTGCCTGCGTCAACATAAGGATTGATCTTCAGGACCTATATAAAGTGTACCATACTATACCATATACAATCAGTGGTAAGGCTGGTTTCACTTCAGTGAATGGATGCTATGCCGTGAAACCACGTATTCAGAAGAAATCCGAACTGCTGCAAAGCTTCGCAAGGTTAAATGAACATACTATCACCCTGAGATCAATTAATTATTTTTAGGTTTAAAAGCTTGTTATACCAGCTTATATGTTCTAAGTACAGTAAATTTTAAAACGACATATTTTGCATGTCATCACTTGCATTCTACCGAAAGTCAGTTCCCGCTACTATTCAATGTTGTTTTCACGTCTTTTGAACCAAAAGGAATGGAATTTTCAAACTCCTTGTCTCAATTTTTAAAAAATATTGTGCAAGTCAGCTGGGTCATTACAAGTATGCCCATTTTTCCTATTAAAAAAAATATATGTGATGGTACTATTCAATTTTAATTTGAAATTATTTGACCAAATCACCATTCGCTTGGAATTCGCTTTGAACCCAAAATTTACTATTTGAACTAGCCTAATCATTCCCTCGCCCCATCCTTTCCAGTGTGGCTTCCAGCATGATCACCAAGAAGAGTAAATTCTGAAAGCCTGCGATAGACCCCTGAAACTTTGCTCATTCTTAACAGATTCAAGCAAGTTTTTTGCATCAATCAGTTCGTGAGGTAATAAGCTCCGATTTTCCTGCAGTGATTTCTTGGCAGGGTGGTTCAATACTGTTTTAAATCTTCTTGTTCAACTTGAATATTAGAGCTCTGGCAAGCCTGGCACCCTATCTGTATTGGCCTCTAGATCGAACAGCCAGCACCTAGTGCGGTAAGGCGACGAAGCCTCATAGTGTGGATGGCGTTTTGTATCATCTGCCAGCTGCACTGTTTCCACGTGTGTGAACATCATGCACGTCCTCAGGGAGCTGCTTATTCTATCGTGCTGGCACAATGTCAAACGCTTGTACGTATTCCTACATGATATACTCAAGCATTTTGCCTTCCGAGGCTTGTGCCCCCTCTGATGAGTGAGTGCATGTACACTATCATGCACATGAAATTCACCGTGCAAGCTTGTGGCCTACGCGCTGCGGCGGCTGCTTACATCACCATCAATCTACACAGCTATAGAAAACGCATCCACTTTTGGTGGCACTGCCCATTGCGATACCCGAGCGGGAGCGTAATCTTGCAGCACTTTTCCAAGAACCATGACTCGTTGTGTTTTCTCACAGATAACGCTAAAAGCGGTTGTGCTTTTTCTTTAGTCGTCACTTGATGGGGCTGTAGCCAGCCGCCGCAGCATGCACGCCGCGCACTCATATGTTGCCTATCATAGAGGATGAAAGCGTATGTGTCGGTATGGCATCAGGTGTACCATCCATTCTCCGAAATCATTTGAATGTAGGTGCCACTTTGTCGGTCAAGTACATCACGTAGTGCACTTGGAGTCATCCTTTTTTCTTTCCACCTATCTATCTTCAAAGGTCAAAGCCATGATTTAAGGTCAATAAATTTAAGAAATGAAATAAAAGAGTGTGAATGCAGGATTTTAGAGAGACCATATCGTGAAGTGTTGGCGATTTCGAAATCATTGTGACACCACAAAGCACGAACTAGCATCAGCAAATTCAGTCAATAGTAAAAAAAGAGCTCAAGTCGCACATTTCTATGGCGATGCGCGTAGTCACGCAAACAGAAAATCAGAGTGCACAAAGGTTTACTTCAACACAATTAGTATGCAGAAATACAGTCTCTCTGTTTTTTTGTATTTGCTGGAGTAAAAAGTAAATATCTAATTGACTCAGTCATCCAGCACCATTTATGTTTTGGTATAGGCAGAGCACAAGCTAAACATATACTAATTAAACAAGAAGAAACATCTAGCTTAGTGCAAAACGCAACTGTTACTGAAGGCCAGCACCCATTGATTGGCAGATTGTACATCTTTCACACATAGCAGAAACGTAAGGCCAGCTTGTTGCACTAATGTGGCAACTAATTAAGGATGTATATCACAATTAAAGCTGCAGTAAATGTGCTTTCTTTGCCAACAATTGGCTCAAACTGCTTACAGTGAAGTGCTGCTGTATACATTTTGGTTTACAGCAGTGCTCAAACCTCATCATAATGAAGTTGCATCTTACATGCATTAGTTTGTTATATTTGGAAATTCGTTATAAAGATATATTTATAACACTATTGCAAGACTACTTTTCATTTACTTCATTACAACTGATATTTTGTTACATTGAGGCTTCAGTGTATATGCGCCACGGACCGCCTACCCACACTCACGGTGCTATGATGCTGCCACTTGTAGCTTAATCTTATGGTGAATGGGGTAGAAGTGCTGACATATTTTGTTTCTCTTTAAATACCTTTATGACAGGGGAAATTTGGTCGAACTTTGTTGTACTATGTTCAGCCTTCTGAATATAGAACTGTAGACTGAGAGGTGTGCAGCATGTTGCATATTTTTCTCCAGCACTGAGCCCGACTTTTTTTTTGTTGGTGTTGCACAATGCCTGTCCAGCTAAAATAACTTGATTAAACTATTATCGTTATCAACTGCTACATTTGATGCTACATTTTATTGAAGTACATAAAAATTTGACCTGGTTTTATAACATTCTGTTCAAATATACTTTCACTAGCAATTGTGGAAAATTCTACCGTGGACAAGGCATGGTAGAGTTATGACAGCAACATACTACAGTGTATCTTGTTGATAGGCATATTTGGGTAATCAAATTTAATTTGGCCAGAAGTTTTTTGAGACCACTCTCATGCTACCAGAAATTTTGCTTTTGTACTTGGTTATTCTTATAAGTTGCTAGTGCATCTTCGAGCATTTAATTATGTTTCTTCCAACTGCAGTGCCCTGGTGTCAGCATTTGAAAAAGTCAAGAAGAAGAATATGGCCAAGCTCAGGAGAGTGGAACTACAGATGGCTGCCATGTCGGAACGACATAACTCGCAGGTGTGTGTGTTTTTTTTATTACAGTTGATCCTGGATGTATCTAACTCGAAGGGAATCGCGAAATGATTCGATATATCAGTAATTTGAAATGCAAAATATGCATATTTAAGGCCTAAAAAAAGCATTCAGGCCTTGGAAATCGTTGCAAGCGCTAATATAACGATGCGCTCACAGTATAATAAAAAACAAGGTGTGAACTGCAAGTTACTGCACTTTATTTCCCATGAAAATAGTCCTGCAAATTGTCTTGGTCCTTGCGCGCCATAAAGTTCCAGTCGTCCTAAATATCATTGAAGCTTTTAAAATAAGCAAACTCAGCTCCCTCGGCCACAACAGTGTTGATTGACGCAAAAGGATGAGCAAAAGGATGGTTAGCGGCGGGAACGAAAGCGTTGGTATACTATAACCGCATGGAAACACTTTTGCGGCACCGGCAATGAAAGCCATGAACTCAGCATCGATGCGGTCAGAAACAGCTACATCAGTATCTGCACCGCTGAAGTTGCTCACTGTTCGAGATAGTGGCCGGAAATGCCGATATGTCGCAGAATTCACTGAGGCACCGTACGCTATTGTCGGCGGTCATGGCGCACCCGAAATCCTCATCTAGACCGCAAGGAAAGTTTATGACGGTGCTTTACTTGGCGTCGCTCCAAGCACTAGTCATAATTTTTATTGCTACGTGTGGGTCAATATTCTGTTCAACTTAGAAATGAAGATTTATCAGGAACAAGGTGAGAAGTACACAAGTTCACAAGGCACAAAAAACAACACCGAGTTCCCTAAGACATGTTGGCGATATTGATGTCACTTGTGGCTTTGTAGCTGGCAGCCGCTGCTTTCAGCTCCTTTGATGCGAAAAGCTAGAAAAAGTGTGGCCTCCGAGACATACGTTTTAAAGCTGAAAGCACTAAAATACGTCACAAGGTTGCACATCTCCAAGGCTATGCTTTTCAAGCTCGCTTGCCAATGTGCACTAACAAACAAGGAAGGGAATGCGAACATTGCAACGAGATCGCCGAGTCACTTCGCATTCTCATTTTGGTGTCGTCGGTGATCGGTCTTTTTGAAAAACACTGTGCCCGTGCGTCAAGACCTGCAGATCACGTATCAAACATACCAGTGCACTCGCAAGCGCCACGCAACGAACAAGATCGGTGCGATGGAATAACACTGCTTTTTCCCCACCTGCGCGAAAAAGGGATTGGAACTTCTTAGAATGCAGCCAAAAATCGATCATTATGTGCTAGGAAAAACACATTTTCTGGGCTTTGGCGCAGCGCAGCGTTAGGTATAGGGGATGTCCCGCTGTGCGGGAGTATGATATATGGGTCCCATACTTCTGCATGGGAAATTCGAGAGGACTTCTCAACTGTTCAATATAGCCAATAACTCGATACATCCGAGTTTGATATATTCAGGATCGACTGTAATACAGTCTGGCCATTTGCAGTATGTGCTCTTGCTCACTTTACCCGACACTTAAAAACAGAAAATTTATGTATACCTTGCAAGATTTATAAAAAAAAACTTTCATGGTGTGCAGCGTTTTATTTTATCGTGTATTCACTAAGACTTGTGATTTTTGCCTGTTGATCACCTATCGATCTGAGGGTTCACTGTGTTGCATGCCTCAACTAGTGGCACACATACCAGTACTCGGCAGTCACACAGCCTCTCATGGCAAAATGAATTGGCAGTCGTGTTAGACATATTTGTGACATACTCGTTGGTGTCATATTGCCTGGCATCTTGCATCCATTCTACTTGTGTGATGGCCATATTGTGATACAGTGTCAAATTCTTACAATGTACTAGTGAGGCGATCGATTGAAGCCACTTCGGTGCAACTTCTGTAGCAGTTAAAATCTCGCTTTGGAGCAGCACAACAAGCTTTTGGAGCAGTTACAACACCAAACAAACACTTTATAATGAAAGTATTTGCCTCTAAGCTTGATCAGTTGTACTGCATTTTTAACAAAATTTATATATGCACACATACATGCATCTTTACCTAGAATAACCCAAAAGATGAAATTATGGTACAGCCCGTGGTTTTTCTATAAACAACCCTAAGTTTCTTTGGAGCCGTGTCCTCAGGCCCCCCAGCTTTTTCCCAGAACCCACCTCGTATTTGTGAATGAATATGACTTTCCCTAATTTTCAATCACAGTACTGAAAGTACAATCTGTGGAGTTTCTATGGACTCTGTTTACTATCTAGAAACACTACTCTGATGACGTCCATACTTTCAGAACAACTTGGTGCTTTGCTGCACGGTGATCTGCCTGTGCTCGTACTTTTTAAAGAGAATCGTGAGCATCATATTTCATAGATGGTTCGTAATAAACAGAGTTTTATAACTGGCCCTTTGCGCTCCATGAAATTTGCCGTAATACAAGGCTTTGTATTTAACTGGCAAGTTTTCAAACTCAGACTGTCGTTGCGGTTGGGTAACGGAACAAAGATACCGGAATGCTGGGACACCATGCTTTCTCAGCAAAAATTTCACAATCGACAGCAGCGAGTGGTATTGCTAATAAAGTACTATTATTGTCTGGTCAGGTGTCAATTATAAATTAGGCACGTGACACAAAATTTAAAGAAACGATATCAAAACAAATAGTACACTTTTTTGTAAAACATATCAGCTATAATAAAATAGTCTTTTCAAACATGTGTGGACTGCTCAATGTAGCTATTTTACGGAGCTTAATAATTTAATACAGTATTTTCGAGTAGTAGCAGAAAACTTTATGTATGCAGTATGGATCAGTTTGTATTGTTTGGCAGGGTTGCACCGAGCAGCTACTTCAATACATAGTACATGTCAGTATGATCCAATGGCCACTCGAAATTACAGCGGTGGCTTAAATATGGTTTGCAAGCACGTTCAGTCTTCTTTTTTACTGCAAAACCACAGAATGACGTTCGTTCACGCTCAACACATATAAGATTTTTTTTTTTAATTTAGCAGAGAGAGAGAGAAACAACTTCATTTAAGCGAAAAAAAATTCACAGCGGAATGGCGATCAGGCCGTGCCTGGCCGCCACCTCCTCAGCTCGCTGTATGGCCCGGAGCTGTACTTCTGAGCTCGTATCTCTGAGTAGTTTTTCCCATTCCTCGGACGAGGGAGCGGTCAGAAGATCAGGCGGGGGTGGATCCTCACTGCAGTCCCATAGTATATGAGAGGGAGGCGATGGAGCCACATTTTGAGCAATGAGGACTGAACAGATTGGGGTAAATGTGTGCGTATACCCGCGGGCACGAGAACGAGTTCGTTTGGAGCCGGCGCCATGTGAATTTTTGTGGTTTCATGAGTTTGGGATGTGGCGGTGGTTTTGTTTGACGTGCGAGGCGATAGTGCTGAGCAATTTCATGATAGGATATGAGGGGCTCACCGATGTTCTCTGGGTTCGTGGCGGGGCCCTCCGCTCGGTTGACGAATTCTCGAGCTTGTCAGTAGGCGGCCTTGTTCCCCGAGTTTCCTGCGTGCGCTGGGACCCAGATAAGAGATATGGGAAGCGGATCCTCGTCTTCGACGTAGGCGAGGAACTCAAAGAGCTGTAAGGTACCGGGAGCAATGGTACGGCGATCGAAATGGGAGATGGCGGTTTTTGACTCGCTTAAAATGTAGCAGGATGTAGCAGGTTTTAACTCTTGGTACAGTTTAGCGCAATTGGCACAGCTATCACGTCACTGCATGTTAATGGTTTCAGCGCCATTCTTTGCATACCTTGAAAAATAAATTTATATTCAACATGGTGTCACCTCAGTACAATAACTAATAACATACTTATCATAATGTTAGTGTTTGTTGTATTTATTAATTAATTGCTACCGAGATGGCAAAAACAATAATTATGAAAATTCCTTGCTCTGCTGTTTAATATAACGAACTTCGCTGGCAGCCTGTTTTCACTTCCTATACGGCCAAGAAAGCTTATGAAAGTGTGGCTGCGTGGCATTTACTTGGTATTAAAGCACTGCGCTCATGAAGTAGCTGTGGATTTGGCTCCCACTTGTAATATGTTACACGTTATATTGCCTCTTGAATAATTTTATATTCACTTTTTTTACTTGTTATAATTGTATTTGAGGTTGTACACCACAAGAGAATTGAACTGAATGTCTTAGTTCTTTTTATACATCTTGCTCACAAAAGTAGTGTGATGCCCTAGTCTGTTATTTTTCTGCAGAGCTCAAAAATCTTCACTCTCTTTTCCTTCTCCAGGTGCAGATGCTGAAGCAGCGAATCGCAATGCTTGAAGGTTCTGGTCTGCGCCATGCTTTGCCTCTCTCAGGAAGCGAGACATCCCTTTAAGGTGCTGCACGGATGAAACTCGGATGGATGAGTTGTTGTTAGCCATCGAAGTGTTATAGCTTTCTGTTTAGTTAATCAAAGTTCTTGTAGCATTTGTATGACAGTCAAACCTTGATATTACAAATACGGATGTAACGAATTACCGGTACTATCAAAACAATGAATACTCTTGTCGTTCATATAGCGGTATTCATTGAAAGTGAGTTTTTGGCTATAAAAAACTGTTTTGTGTCAAATGCAACTTTCTTAATAATGAGGTTTTGCTGTAGTCGTGCAGTTCCTTTGTGTACTCGTATCGTTGCCAGTGTGTTATATATCAAGTAGCACAACGTGCAGCACTCAACGAAGTTCCTCTTTTTCCTGTTTGCAGTTCCTTCAAGAATGACTCTAGGCATGTTACCGTGTAATATTGTGTGAGAATAGGTAGGAATTGGGCAGAAGTCACTGTCATAAGTGTGCACTGTATAGAGTGTAATCGTGACAAGATGGTCACGACATTTCAGGCGGTACTGTCAGTAAGTGCGAAAGTTTATGGCAGACGTGCGGTAGCTGCTGTTGTGTTTAATCAAGAACCATTTTGCCCAGCAAGTGTGCTTGATATGTTGTTTTATTCTCTACCTTTGTTAGTTTTGTGTTGTGAAAAAGCTGTACTGTGCAACTGCAAAGCTCAGTGTACAGCTTTATAGAGGGAAGTCGACCATGTTAGAAGGAAAACTTTGAAAATAACCCAGGTTCTCAAGCTTTTGCTCGTTGGCAAATGTCTGCTTAGTTTACTCTGGTACCATTTGTTCCTGATCCCCAATTCAGAAACACTTGTCGACAACTGCCTGCACACACTTATGAGCAATATGGCAGGAAATGCATGAAGCTTGAAAGACTATAGTAGCTAGATAGTCATGCCAAATGCACATTGGTAAAGCTCCTTTGTATGTATTACTAGTACTGTGCACCTAGCTATTTAATAAGCCCCTTTGCAACATCAACATGTTACCATTGTAACATTCACTTAAAAACAGCTTTTGTGTTCCCTTTCTTACTGCTCATATGTGTAAATATATACTGCAGTACCCATATCACATGCTCCATATTTAGAATGTATTCCGTATTGAATATGAATCTGCACATGGTATGGATCAAGCCGTGTATGCCTTTTGAATTCGATATGTAATCAATCAGCTACCCGTGGCCGTTCTTGTGTCAGAAAAAAGACAAGGACCCGATAGCATTACATATAGTAACTGACCAGTCATGTTTGATTAGGTAGAGTTCTATCAGTATTGTTTTGTTTTTCGGAAATATGAGCTTGTTCCTTAGGACCTAGTATAAGTGGTGCCTTTCATAAACATTTTTCTCTTGCACGTGATGTTGGAGGTGTCACGCGAGTTTCACTCGCAATCTCTTGTATTTTTGTTTTGCTTCAGCTAAAGACCAAATATCAATTTTTACATTAGTCTCGCAACAGATGTACTGGTTGAATCTTGTGGCATTATATTCCCTTATCTATTTCACCGGAGTGTACAATATCCTTCTTGGGGCTTCATTCAACTGACTTGACTCGGTGAGCGCCTTTACCAGCCAGGTACAATTGTTTGTAGATACAAGCAGTAGTAAAGCATCATGGCATTTGGTGAAATGTCTGTGCACACATTTGTACTTTTCCAAAGGCATTTAACTGCATTAAATGCAGAATAGTCAGAGTTTGTGAGGTGCTTAGTCCCACCCAAAACCACATTTCAATTCTTGGCACTGAAATGTAGTCACTTAGTCATCTGCCTCCACCTTATCGTGCTCTGATGATGTGGGACCAGCCTTTATTGAATCTCACAGCTGCTTAGAGTAATCAGTGTCCTGAAACACCGTTCAAGGAAGAAAGCTGCTAGGCTGTGCCTTGTTCAAGGCTGATAGTTTACCCTAAGTACCTAGTCATTAGAACTGCTTGTCACAGCTACCTAACCTCAGTCATAGTGGGAACATTCAGTTGTGATTGAGTCAAATTTGAATTGAAATTCTCAAATATGATTGGCTCCCTTGCCCAAGCTGTCAAAGGGAGCCGATTACAAGCTGTCTCGATATTAATCACAAATACACTCATTTGAGGTCCGTACAATTTGTCTTACCGAGCTTTGCCTAGTGCTTTTTCTTTCCAACTCTCAGTAGCATTAAATCTCAATAAGTGGCCAGTGAAATTGCAGGTTTTTTGGTGTACAATGAGAGAAACAAACATCCCGTAATTTAGCAACTTCACAAAGTGTGTTCGGTGAATGTGTGTGTGTGTGATTTATTTACATTTTACATCTCTGTACCGCAGGTTTGAAGGGATATTACAGTGTTTTAATAAGCAGTCTCTTTTTGTGGTCACACTTGTTGATGAAAAGGAAGTTTCTTTTTTTCTCACTTGTTTACTCTCTAGGGGGCATTAAACGTTATGTTCTGAATGTGAAGCTTAGGTCCATATAAAGCAGTGACGAATAGCTCAAATAGTTGATCTGCTGAAATGGTCTGCTGACGTATCATATTTGCAATGGACATAGTAACATGATTGTTTGGTGCAAATACAGCTCAAAAGTTTTTTTTGTGTGTGTGTGTAAGCAGTCTGAAAATGGTCTTAGTACTATACCTGTAATAGTCACTTTATAGTGCTTTAAATTTAATGAAACGTCCCCTCACTTGCCTCCCTACTTACAATTGGCTGCTATGCACCCAAGCATTGCGGGGTAAAGCGCAATGTAGCAAGAGATTTGAAGCTGCAGATAGTGAAAACATATCAAAGGGGAGTGGCAAAGTGTAATCCAACTGAGGGAGCATATCTGTGAACTTTTATGACCAATGGCTCTGCCCAAATAGTGACAGCTATCTATGTGGCCTCGCTAAACAAATGGCAATGATGGTTGTGCGTTAATATCTCACTGATCAGTGCTCTTATAATATTGTACAACAGCACGGCTGGAAAACTGTCATTGCAAGGCAAGCACTGCAATAATGCTTACTATATTATGGCCAAGAAGTGTTAAGTCCACAACGATAATAATTAGTTTGTATCAAAATAAAAGTTTTTTTTACTAGAGTTAGATACTGCAGCTATTCACGGTTTTTAATGGCAAAATAATGCGTTATTTTCAACTCTTTATCTCAGTAGTTAAATGGGGTCCCGCTGCCTCTAGACTTTAAAAAAATACTTGAAAGCATCATAACTTAATGTAATAGCTCTTATAGACGATGTCCTGATATTGATTCTAGTGCGTCATGACATAGCTAGACAGATGCCTAGCATAGCGACATTTTGACACTCTCTCTGCCTCGGCCACTTGACTACACTGTTCGTTGCAACTGGTGTCAACATAGGAAGCGACCAAGCAAACTGCAGCTATTGAAGCAATGCAACATCCCAGCTCTCACATAAGCATGTCAAGTGCAGAGCCATCAGACACTATAGCTTTTCTAGCAAACAAAAATAAAAAACAGGAACTGGCTGTACAAAAGTTATATGTTATTTCCTCTGCACAGTATCCACCATTATGGCAGCTATAAGCTTTCTCTCATAACATATCACTCATTGATAAATGCAGACAAGCTTTTCTTCACGTCCTTTCACTAGTCTAATTGCACACCAGATATTGAATGTGATTATCCTCCTTATAACGAATTCTGCTTTGGCCTGTTACATATGATAGCAATGTCACCCCAGCTGTTTGTACAACATACATGACCAAGTTAGCATGCGCCAAAGTTGGCCAAATTGGTAGCAGTAACAGCACAGTGGTAGTAGACACGAACTAAAGCTTCCTTGTGGCCTTACGTAAATGCTGTAGTTATTATTTTGCCTCTCGAATACAGCTTCTTATAAAGTGAACATGGGGTCTTCGAGTCATGGTAATTGATTACTCCATCACACTCGAAAGAGTAGTTTCTGGCCCAGTCTGGAGAAGGCTCTGTGAATCTCATCAGCCCAACCACGTAGCCAAATTGAGATATGCAAGATTTGCATATATTTCGTGCACTTGTACTTGTCATGTGCTTACTGCATATTATTTCTGTTTGAGAACATCTAGAAGGTGCTTTGATCAAGCTGATTAGCAGCATTGGCATGTGTTTATTTAACCTTTTCTTTTTTTTAATGATCGCCTTCATATCAGTCTGCTCCTGTTACCACAGGCTCTTTTCCATGTGTTAACAATGGTTTGGCTTCTGTTCCATATTCAGTGACTTCTATTCCATATTATCATTACATATTAGGTGTGAATGCTTGTATGACTTCCGTCTGGCCTCTCAACAGGGTTGCTTAGCATTAAATATTTATGATGAGTGGCATAGAAATATACTGCATTTGTACAACACTTCTATATCGTATGCATGTAGACATGAGTGCAGTCTTGTAGTAAAACAATCTCTTTAGCCAGGCTATGCATCAAATATACTTTTACAAGCAGGGTCACAATATTGAAGCCCCACATACCCTTTTCTTTTTTTCTCATACTTGCTTTATCATGCTGTCTACGTGACAGTGGACTGTGCCATGCTTCATTTTATTTGTGCCTTGAACAATATGGCCTGCTGCAAGGGTACGGCACTGAAAATGTTAGTGCCTGCCTGGCAGTAGCAATGGACAATTACACCATCATATGGCTGCCTGGTTGGAGCTATATGTGGAAATGTAACTGCCATCAGTGTTTGGCAAATGGGATTGCTAATGGTGCACTCAGTTCAGTGTACAGGAGGTTAGCATGTGTGTATGTATACACTCCTGGCCCTTCTTAATACAATGTTAGTAGATATTGCAGGAGGAAATTCCAGTGCTGCTGTGTATCTATAGCATGGGTGTTCCCTTAGGCTGTAATGTCACCTTGTACTTTCTTCTTAAAAATGTAACTAAAGCGATCATTACTGTTCATATTGCTTACCTCGCGGGGTATCTTTGTTAATGCATATGTTGTGGCTCGTTAACTTGCCGGAGGCGTCAGGACCTATCTTTATACAAGTTCTTGCAAAGTATGTCAGTGTTGCTGTGTCACTTCATTAGTATGGTTTGCCATGTGTTGCCAGCTGCCTTTGTTAGTTACTGGCCTGGGTTTCCATACAACCTCAACTTCAAGATGTGAACATACTAAAGGCTTGTGAAGACATAAAGAGTGTGCATTTTACTGTAACCATTTTCCATTAAGCATACAGTTTCATGCGAAGATAGCTAGGTGGAATTTTGCTGCTAGTGTTTACGGTTTGGATGTGAAAACAGCACAAAAATACAAATAAAGACGGAAGAAGAGATGACAAAGCGGGAATCAGCGCCTTGTCTTCCTTCTTCCGTCTTTGTCTGTATTTTTGTGCTGTTCTTTACATCGAAACATGAACTATCAAATCATGAATCCCTACTTTTTCTTTAGTGTTTGCAGCAATTGAAAGCATTGTGGATCAGCCAGGCTGGTAATGATGGTCAATTCAAAGATCTGCCCCAAATTTGCTCTTCTGGCTGCTAACATTGTAGTGACTATGTAAAATAATTACTTTTAGCAAAATCTTTCATTATAACCACCGTTCAAGATGATGTGTGCATGCAGATTGCGTTCTGCTTTCAGAAAATAAGATGGCTTCAAAATTCAAGCCATTAAAGATGGAGAAAGTGTAGTACACAAAGCTACGAGAATGTCAGTAAGCCAAAAGCATGAAGTTTAAGCCAATCCATTTACTAATCATCCACCGCCATGGTAACATTGTCATAGTTCCATCTTGTAGTGTTAGTAGAAAGCTTATTGTTATTAGGGACTTCTTGATGGTCATGCCTTGTACTATTCAATGTTAATTCCTTTTGTTGCATGCACTATATTCTTACAGAAGGTTGGCGTAGATGGGAAACGTGCGTTTTGAGGTATGCGTGTCCTATGAAGTCTAGACCTTCAACAATAGTTAAGCAATGACATTGCCTAGTAGTGTTTCTGTCTGTATGAGATGGGCGTGATTACATGCAATAGATTAAGCATACCTTGCAGCTGTCTATGCACCTCTTTGAGAGGGTCTTTTTCTTTTTCCTACATACATCTATTCAGTCACACATCAGATCACATGGGGTGCTTATGGCGTGATACCTGACTACAAATGCACCATATAAACTGAGGTTTCTCTCGTTTCAAAGTGGCTTATCAGGGGTACACCTTAGTAATGACTCTTTCTACATGTGGCTTTTTTTTTCATGTGTATTTGAATATGTCTAACAATTATTCACTGCCATGCTTTATTTCGTTTAGTCACTTTTTTTTTAAACCGATTTTATCTAGCGTGTTGAAATACATATGGTAGTTCTTTAAAACTTTGACGAAGTGTCATGCATAAGTTGTCATATTCGGGTGGATTTCATACATCAGATGTTTCTGAGCCAAACATTTCCAAAACTTAAGTTAGTACAAACTATAGACTTGAATTCCTGTATAGTTTGCCACTCTGATCTGCATTGTGTTCCGCATTAAAGGTGCACGGCCTTATCGGGTTTTGATGTTTTGCTAGGCCTGATATGTTTCTACTGAGTGCACAACAAAATGTGTAAAAATGAGTAGTTTACGGCACTGAACTGTTTATGATGATTCACAATCAAAACGGTCTTGATTTTTTAAACCGTGTGCCTATTTTACAAGGTACATTTTATCAGTGGTGTCATGCTTTACTATATCAATTTTTTCGAGGGGGCCGTGTTGGCATCATATATTTACAAGTGTCTTTTGTTCAAATAAAGTCAATGTTTTATCTCTCAGCTTTGGTGTCCAGTTATAATGCCACTTGATTGTTCTGTTAACCTCAATATACTCATATGTCTATTTGTTTTTGTAAAATGCACATGTGCTTAAATTGTTTCTTAGCAATTACAGTTGAAAGTTAGTGATGCTGGTACATTAAGTTTGTGTTTGGTCGCCCTCACTGGCAGGCTCAAAAACCAATGGCTACTGGCATTTAAAAGCCAGATGAAGAGGTAGCCTCTTTTATTCATGATGGCAATAAGACTACTTACACTATCAGTAGTTGCAGTATATTGTTGCATAAATATGTTCAGTAGACTGCATAATTATGTTCATACCACACCCACAGCCAAAAAGGTTGCCTTAGCCCACACCCCCACTGAATTTTGGATGAAGGGGCATGTTTTGGTAAGAATAAATAATAAAGATACAGGTTTCTCAAGGCCTTCAACAAGTTCCCCCACTCCCGAAAAAGTTACTAGCTACGGGCCTGGTTTATATTCTGAAAATTACGGCTTTAACATTATGTCGGACAATTGAGGAAGATATTAAGAAGTCCCGGAAGTAGTTTGTTTACTGAACCTAACAATGCTACTATCAATGTGCATCTTAATTCTCTACTGCATTCACACTTCATAAAATTGCAGGAACATAATGGGTCCTCGTTTTCAGTGTCTTTGGGTAGCATTGGCGGGATCGAAAATGCTCACGCACAAATGTCGGAGGTCACATATACAGATTGAATGTAATGAACAATGGCACACATGTCATGTATTCACAATGAATGGAGGTGGAATATATGAATGGGGCGACAAACTGAGGCATTGTCAGCTTTAAAAAAAAAGACATTTTTCCGCTTCTTATTATGAACTCCACTGACATAATCCAACAAGGCATATTATTAGGTTTTTGTTAAATTGTCTAAACAAGGGTAAGTTCACTTTCACCTATGCTCAGTGGCGTATGGCCAGGGGGTGGCACATTGGGTCCCTGCCCCGCCCCCTAATTTTTTTCCTTCATGGCATACAGAGCGAAAAATTACTATTTTGAAGTGGTGCCCCTCTCCTTCCACCCCCCCCCCCCCCCCCATTCCCGAAAAAAAAAAAAAAATCCGCCTGCGGCTCTGCCCGTGCAATCATGCATAACGCGAAAGGAATGCCAAGACCGCGCGATTCTTCACTTAAAACTTTTTGCGCATGCATTTCTTGTGTTTTTCAACATCAAGGGCGTGAATAGGAAGCCCCATTTCAAGTTCAGTATGCCAAATAGCGAAGAAATGTGTCAAACTCACGATACACGTGCTCTTGATGACGTCTTGCAAACACGACTTCTTTGCAGAGTTCTGGGCGAGTCCAAATAGATAACCCCCGCCTCTTTCGAAGACATTGCAATGTCCTAAAGAAGCGAGCTCGCAAGCGCATTTCAGTGTGAAAAATTTAGGCTGCAGAGAGTATGGCTTGGCGGACTTGGCACTATGTTTACATCGACAGCAGCGTAGTTGAAAATGACAGCGCGCCTAAATAGAAACCGAAACCGCAAGTGCTGGCTTGCGCTCGGCTTTTGGATTTGCGATTGGCTTTTTTTTATAGTCCTCTTTTAAATGGCTACCATGTGCGAAATCGGTTGAATATCGAAGAAATGAAAACTGCGTTCGCGATCGAATCTCCCGTGTTCGCTAGCACGTTCGCCGCTATGTGATTGCCGGCACAGAAACCGAACATCCGTGAAAAAGTTTGGTTGGTCTAAAGAGGAAGTAATATATCCGTTTGGTCACAATATACGAGGTGAGTGAGCATGGCACGAAGGTTGAATGAAGTGCAGCGAAAGCTCAAAACAAACAGCGATCGTGTGCATGCGGTGGTATCCTCTCAAGTCGCTAACGGCTTACCAGCGTACTTGCAGGTGCAGAATGCTGAGGCGAATACCGTCTGTATTGTTCCGGGGCATAGCGCAGCAGTTCGTAGCGCCTAGACGACTGCCAGCATTTAGGTTGCTGTCGTCCGATGTATCGCCAAGCGACCAGATGGTCACGACTACGGCCACATCGAAGGCTCCTATTACACCTAGCGCACTTTCAAAAGACGCAGGTATGCTGATCCGCGCTATTTTTCTCTGTGCGCTCTTTGGCGGCTCAACGCAAACAGTCTGCGACCTCAAGCTTCGCATATATTTCAGATATCCTCACGGAACAACTTCAGAGGGCCAAAAATGTTGACAGACTTCTCGATCTAGTCGGCCAGCACCACCGAGTAATGAACAATGCGCAAGTGCTGACGGCGTTTACATGCCTTCACGATGTGATCAAGTAAGCAATTATACCTGCTCCAACAAGCGCGTTGTTGGAAACTGTGGCAAGAAAACTTATTCCAATTAACAATATGTGCATCGTAGAGTTGGTGACTAAACTTTATGCATAACAACAACTACAACAAAAAGAGATAACTAAAGCTATGTAGTGCATTTGGCATTGCAAATGAAGTATAATATACCCACCAAAGTGAGCTGATCAACGCCCGCTGCACTTGGTCTAGATAACTAAAAACTGCTCGAATAGTAATTGCTGATAGTAACATGTGTGAAAATGGGTACATTCATTTGTATGTCTGTTTTTGAAGGGGAATTAGCTGTAAGTCTAAGAACATGAGCGTTGCTTGCTGTTGGTCTCCCGAATATAATACCACAGCTGTTATTTCGTTTCAGGCAACAGCCTAAACAAGCGGACTACAAGAGCTTGACTTCTCATCCAGGCTTCCGAGAATTATGCAACCGAGCGTTAAAGCGGATGCGCTTTTACGAGACACAAGAAGTGTTATCGTTGCTCAAATTCTCCGCACTTTTTCAGATTCCTGCCAGCACTGCTCTTGTCCAGGCCATGGGACAAATGCTAAAGCACAGCATCAACAGTTTATCGTTGTCAGAGCTCATATTTCTTGACATGCTCCTTCAGTGGCAGAAGTCAAGCTCTTCAATAACAGACGCATTGAAGATAGCTATTCCTCTCGTGTTCCAAGCTCAGCTTCCCATCCAGTTGAACTTCACTAACGTTCACGATGTAGTGCGCTGTTTCAAGTTTGCTTATACAAAAGAGCTGGATTCTGCCCTTGTTGAGGTATTTCCCTTCTTGTTTCATATAAAAATTTTTCCCCATTCTATGTCTTAATTCTTGCTCACTTTTGATGCCAAAGATATTTACTAATAATTTCAAGTTTAGCAAAAAAAAAAAAGATTTTGAATTAACACATAGCAACATTAACTTGCCATTTTTTTCTTTATTGTTACATTCATTGCACGCTTCAGTATATGATTGAGTTGTCTTAAACTTGGTGACAACTTTTCTTGGCAGTACTGTAGAAGCTACAAAACCAAATACGTGCTTGCTACCGCACCCAAAAATAGCTCTTCAGTGTACTGATAATTTTATCAGTTGTCTCGCTGAAATAAATACTGCTTATATATTACGAGATTCAAACAGTTACTGAAAGTCTTAGATAAAATGTAGGTAGTGTTTGGTTAGCAAGAATGCCTTCCTTTTCTTTCCATTTCTTAGACAGCACCACCTTTTCAGCATGCTTGTTTTCCATGGACGTGAGTGGGTCAGTGTGCAACAGTGTTGTGGACTGGACAACCCATTCCAATCCCATTCTGGGGAATTAAAACTTGCCACAATTCCGTTTCATTCAAGAAGCAAAAACAAAGAAGTGAAGGGTGAGGAGACAGCAGGTAACTGGGTCACCGCCAGGGTAAAAAAAGGTACAAGGCGTAAGGGGGGGTATGCTACCGCTGTAGCTTTGCACGATGGATAAGAAGGGCACAGAGCCACGGTTACATAAAGAATAAGACAAACTTCGGACCTACATGGTCTATATAATTGAAACAACTTTTATTTGGCCCAGTAGGACGCGATAATGTCGCGCACCCGGCTTAGTGCCACGTCAGAGAGGACAGAATTATATAAGTGCATTATTTATAAATTTACCATGCTTGTAATCAGTTAAGCCATTTAAAAAATACTACTTCATTGTTAAATTGGAGGCTCTGACTTGCTAATGTGTGGAGTTTGAAAAACAGTGCATAGACAAAAACGTGCTCGATTTTCAGAAAAAGACCTAATTCTATTCTGTGCAAAAGGTGCTTAATTCCATTCCATTCCTAAAGGTTTTGCGCCCATTCCGATTATATTCTGGGGTTGCAAAAATGTGGAACGATTCCGGAGTGGCAACATTGCTGTACAGCCACGAATGCGCTGTTTAATTCTAAAAAAATATGCTCGTAATAGGACACCGAAATGCACTCTGAACAATCAAATGTCTTCCATTCACGCAGATGTTTTTCAAAACTTGTTAACGATGCAAGCGGGCAAAATCAGCTTCAAGCCGCCACACTACTTGCAGAGCAACACGAATGTGCAGAACCCCACCTCCATTGCCTTTGCTCCACTGCCAACACAGGTTGTCGCCAAGTATAGGCTATTACAAGTTATTTGTCGATAATCGAAACAACTCTCTGTAAACCACTTTTCGATAATGATGAATCATTGAATAGGGAAGGTCGCCAAAGCCAACGTTTCTCCAAGACTTGTTTTCTTTAGGGGTAGCAACTGCTTTCCTTGGAATTTTTATGAAAGGCAGATGCCACCCTGATGAAGACAAGTGTACTTGTCCAAACTATGGCTCCAGCGACATTCCTGTTCAATCACTTCTCACGACATTAACCTTCATCCTTTCCTGCATTTATCTCTTGTTCATTTGAAACGTTTTGCAAACCTAAGTGTATTTTAAAATATTGCAGTTTTTGTATGACAGTTTTTATGTATCTCGACTGCATTACAGCAGGAAATAGGATTTGCATGTTCTAGATATGGCCCAGCTGCTCAAAAGACAAAGGCGATAGTTACTCATAATCATTTGCTGCCGTTGTACGTGATGCTTTGCTACAGTGTTAAGTGCTTTAGCAATAATGGTTATACTGAATAGTACATCTGAATAGACAAATGCAATTATCATTGTTGTGTTAACATGCTTCACTATATTATTAGTGCAGAGAGTGCTTTCATAGTGAAAAGTCGGCTGGAAATTACACGAAATTATATTGCAATGTAGTGCTTGTCGTTTGTCTTGTGACCTCCACATGTAATACTGCCGAGCAGTCTTGTTACTGCTGGAATCGTTACTTAGCAAGGGCTATGTCAACTTAAACCTTCATTTATGTCAATTTTCATTTTTGTTCCTCTTTCCAAAGAAAATGGCCATCAGCCTGCTTTCAGCGCTCCCAAATTTGGACCCAGAACAGGCAGCCACACTCGTCATCACTGTAGGCATGAGCCCTTCAATTTCCTTCACGGTACCCTCTGTCAAGGAATTGGTGAGAGGATGTGAACAGATTATGGTGGAAAATTTATCGTCATATGCACCCAAGGTATGTGCCTCACTTTAACTTGGTTCTAAAAGAAGTGCAGTAGGGGGCATTCATTTAACCTCGCTATGCAAGATGTACCATTTTCTGTGCACTCTTTAAATGTGATTGTGTTAAAGAGTCCACGCACATAGCCATTGTTCCAACATTTGTTTCAATTTCTATACATGCTGGTTCATGTTAGGCTTCACACTGCCATTACTGAATAAATATTTTAATCGGAGAGAAAGAAAAGAGGCAGAAATTCTATGGTCCTTCTTTTCAAAAACTGGACATTTCTAGATTGCCATACAAGAGTTAGCAGCAATATTCATTAAATTGTGTGGTCAAGTTCTCAAAGATGATTACATCTACGAGTAATATATAGCAGTGTACAGAAAGCATATTGATGATTACTGCTTTTTGTTCAATAATACTGGCTGATCCTTTGCTTTTCCGTCAACTTGCTAGACCATCAGGGCTGTTCTTGCGAGCTTAATGCGAGATGCTCGGAAATCATCTCTGCTCGAAGCCCTCATTCATCACAGCACGGATAACCACTGGCCTTTGTCGGAGCTGAGCCTGGTGCTCGACTGCTGCTACAAGCACGAATACGCCACACCAAGCCTGTCGGAGTATGTGGCGCAGCGCATTGTCAAGGAAGAGGAAAAAGTCATCCAAGACAAGAGGGTCTCTGTGGTGTGCCTTGCAGACTTAGTGGCTGCATGTCCAAAGCACACAGATCTGTTTCGCGAGGCTGCCCGCATTCTGGCCTCGTGTCAGGAAAAAATTGCCACGGTGAAGTTCTCGGCACCGCACGTCTTCGCGAGGCTGGTGTCAAATCTGGCAAGGCTGCACTGTTTCCCAAAGGAGTTGCTGGGGCGAGTCTTTGACGAGCAATTCCTCAACAAGGCAAGGTTCAAGGGTGAGAAGCAAAAGTTTCATTCGTTGCTCGTGCCACAAAAATAAAAAGGAAATTAGCACGCATAAACTAAAATCAGTCGGCAAGTGCGACCTGCGTATGTGTAGTGCGAATAACCTGCTTAGTGCCGTATCACGTTGGCGCATATCCATCTGCAAATTAACGCGTCACTTTTCCTCAGTGCCAGCGGAAACAAGGTGCTTGTCTGCAGTCTTGCCTTTTCACTCCTTCTGTAATTTTTGCCAACCTTGGATCTGCCAACCTTAGAATCGAAAAATGCTAAATAAGTCTCACCGTGTGTTGCCAGTGATTCGATAGTGTTTAACAACAACAGCTGTTCAAGAGAGAAATTTTAAAATGCAACAGAAGTTTTACAATTCAAGATGTTGACATTTATGATAAAAGTTCACAGTTATATTTCTCTTATGAGTGCTGTGGGCTGGTACTCTGCTATGTAGCCACAGCTGTAGTGACTTCAGTTGTAGCCAGCACATGTTTTGCCACTCCCTTCCACACACAATGGCTTAGCAGAGGGTAAGAGAGTGCTTAGTGGCTAAAGTGTCGGGCTGCTAAGCTCGTAATATGGTTTCGGTCACCAGCTACAGCAGTTGTATTTAGATAGGGGTCAAAATGCAAAGGCACTCGTATATGTTAAACAACATCACATGGTTAAAATTAATTTAGGACCTTCATTACTGTATATTAATTATAAATTGCAAAGTGCTCCAGGGCTGCACAATAGAGGGCGCCAAGTCTGAGTGACCTCACGATGAGAATATGTTGGCTGTGCGTTTCGCCTCGTGGCCATTTTAGGTTTAAGTTTGCTGTTGAGAAATTAAGCAGCACTCTTTGTTATTTCATTTTGGCAGCTTCTGGCAAGAAGTGGCCAGCTATGCTCACCAACCTGCTCCAGTTGGAACAGTGCGTTCGCATCGACCTCAAGGAGTACCAAGGACCGGTCTTACCCGACAGGCTGCGGAAGGAAGCCGTCGAAGTGGCAGCCGAAGAGAGCAGCTTACTGGTTCCACTGAAGAAGAGTCTCGAAGTTGCTCTCGGAGGAGCACAGTTTGTCGCGGCAGGGCTGTGGACAAGGCATGGCTACTTCATCGGTGAGTCGGGAACGGAACGTTGAACCCGCTGTGGTAGCCCAGCAGGTGAGGTAGCGTGCCACTAGGCTTCAGGATGCGGATTCGATTATGGGACAGGGCGGCATTTTAACGGGGGTGAAATGCAAGGTCATCAAAGTTAACCCAAAGTCCTCTGCTACAGCGCTCATTATCATATTGTGGTTTTTGTTCATGAAACACCCGATTTTTTAAAATTAAGTGCGGTCATGAGTGCTTACTTTGCAGCAACAGCTTTCAAAGTTTTGCATAACTCTCGGCTATGTTGCACATAATCAGGTACATTACATACCCTTGATACTTTTATTTAATTGATTGATTCATCAGCTGATGGTAGTACGAATAGTAAACTGTCCATAGCTACCTTAGTTGTTTGTGTGGTGAACTTTCATTAGACGTTAACTACCACATTGGAAATGTTCTCTGAAGGCATATTCTTCCACAGTATTTTCACAATTTCTGCTAAGTTGCGCTATATATTAGAAATTGTGCAAAATGTTGCATTATAGAAATGACTCATAGGAGCACTAAGCAAACACCTTCAAGTGAATGAACACGAAATTCTTAAAAAAAAAAAAAAACATGCCTTGGTCTTTTTATATACAGTACACTCTCATTAAACGGAACGTGAAGAGACCAGGAAAATGTGTTCCATTTAATAGGAGCTCTGTTTACTGAGAGGTGAACTGGGTTGCAGCATTCAGGTATGAAACCAACCATATCAGAGGCAGTTGCTCTATTCAAGCAGCAGTTACGTTTAACACATTTCCATTTACTGAGAGTACACTGTACTACGGTAACCTTGAAGTGCAAATTAAACATTGCTTGTAGTTGTAGTATAGTTTTGAAAGCTGAACTTGAATGACATTCATAGACAGTTCTGCAAACACAGGACATTTGATGACAAATGCGTACGGGCCGTGAACTCTCTTTCATCATAACGTTCTTGACCATATCACACTGCTCCTTTGGACTAATGGCACATCATTCATTAATGTTGCATATGGAGACATCTGAATTTTAATATATTGGCACCCAGCAAGTAGCATTTCATATATTCAAGTGACTTTCATAAGCTGACCAAATGTACTGAATCCATTTTGCTAGGTCACAAGAATGGAGGTATTTCTCACATCACATTTGCATTGTTTTTCCCCCATAAATGCAGATTTTGCTGTGGTCATGCGAAAAGGCGAGTATCCTGTGGCCATAAACACCCAACTGGCATCAGCATCTGATGGCGGTTACTCTTACGTCGAAGATTTAAAAGTACCTGAGGACGCTAAGGTGTAAGTTCTATTAAGTAAATTTGCAAATTGACTTTTTTTTTTTCACGGCCATATCGCATGTGCTGCAGTACAGTTTTGACACTGTGGTGATACTATTGGTTCTTTCAGCTCCTAAAGTGTACATGAACCATGATTTAATTTTTGTCTTCGTTACACATCTTGCAGCTATATAGTGGTCTTTAGATACCTGTGTGGAATGGGCTGTGATATTCCCTTGGCAGTTATAAAGCACCAACTATAGGAATGAGGATTTCAAAGACAAACTTGCTTTCTGAAGCCCCATTGATATTGCCGTAATGATGATTTCTGTATACAGTATTATTAACGGTATTCTAGCAATTCACAAAAAATATGGAGTACTGAGGGCCAACTACAAGGCAACGGTACTTAAAAGCAACTCTTATCAGTGGAAGCAAACGTAGTGTTTATCTTCTAAATGTATGACTACACCTCAGCAGTCTGTCGTGAATCTGCAACTTACCATTTTTACACCAGTCTGGAAATTCTGGTAATAAAGGAAGTCCAAAACACATTCTCAGTTCCACTCACCATTATGAGCAGAATCTATTTTCTGCCTGACTAAAGTTATGCCAGAAGTTGCCATAGCAACAACATAATTTTAACAAGTTGTATGGTACAGCTGCTGTGTCGTTCGTAATCGTGAGAATGGCCCCACTGTTTTTTTTTTTTTCATGCTATTGAATAACTGTAGCCAAATTCTGTAAGACTTGCTGTTCCCAAATATTGTGTGTTGAATTACTGCCATCTCCCTCATAGATCATATTTTTTGAGACCCAAAATAGTACATGTCACTGTTTTTGCTAGTCACCAACGGTGAAGGGTTTGCCGTATAAATAGGGATGAAATTTCCACATAGCTCAAGCAAGAACGAGTCATTATTTAGAGTGTAAAAATTCAAAGTTATACCCCTCTAGTATATTTTTCTGACAAAAGTATGTCTATTTTTTTACATGCGGTAGTTTCTATAATGACGGTACTGTTCTTTTCTACCTACAGGAGTTAAAAAAAAACATTGACATGTACATATAGTACTAACAGTGTTGTGCAGCCTTGTCAAATTGCGATATCCCACTGCACATAAGTTCACTCGGAAAAGTTCCTACTGTGCAAGTTTCTGTCACATTTACAACTCTGAGCCCTGAAAATTTTTAGAGCTACATGCAGCATCGCGGTGCTGTCAATAACACTTGCTTTGACAGTTTCAGGGTTCAAACATAAATTTTTAACAAACAGTGTTATGGTAGTTAGTTATCTAGATGTGATGTGCATCAGTGATTGCATGCATGGAGCAAGCTTGCTGCAGTAATGAATTGAATGAGGGTGCTCATTCAATTTTTTTTGATGGCCACATTCCGGTGTAGTCGGTGCATTGCAGTTTTAATGCATAAACGAAGTTTTTCTTGACCCTGGTGAGAGTGTTATAATTAGGGTATGCCTTTCGGATGTCTGTAAAATGTATAATCCCTGACTGAAGTAGGTACCACGGTTGAACCTCGGTTTAGCGAAGTCACCGGGACCCGCGAATTATATTGTTGAATCAGGAACTTGTAAAATTAAGAATGGCATCGTTTCATCCTTACAGATTTAAAATTGTATAGGAGAGACTCACAAAAGCTACCACATCAGTGTATTTGTCATTAACACTCACCTGCGCGCCTAGAAGGCATGCAGGTGAGAGTTAAGGGGGCCCCTACAACACTTGTTGAACATGGTCAGAAAATGCTGCCGATCGGTAGTTGAGGCTCCCGAGAACACGTGAGCCAAATATTATAGCACAGCATGCGGCCTGCAATTTACGATAAATTCTGTAAGTCAGCAACAAATCGCCTTTTTTTTTGTCTCATCAAATGATGCTGTTTACTCAGAAATCATTGTGTCACAGACCCAAGTATCATGCCATTTGCTGATTTGAGCATGGCGCACTGAGGAGTTACTGCAACTGCCGTGGTAGGCAGGAATGTGTCCACACGTGCTTGTTCAAAGAAAAAAAGAGCAAGTGAGTGAGAGAAAAGGTGCTCAAGGTCGTGAGGCGAGCGTGACGTATCTTCTCTGCCCTTGCTATTTCTCCTTGCTTAGCTTCCAGTGCTTTTGTTTCGAGGAGAGAAGAGAGAAAGTCATTGCAGCATGCAACAAATCTTTGGAACTCTGCTCGCATTGGATTAATTAAAAAAATTTTTGCAGTAGTCTATTCATGAGGCAATAAGCTCCTTAAGTACGTGAATTCATTTTATGGCTACTTGTAAAAGTGTTGCTGAGCCCTTTTACTGTGCACTTTTGCCATCTGGTGAAACTGACCCTAAGCCTGAAAAGAAACGTGCAGTCCATCGTTCCATGCAATTTCAGTTTTTAGTTTCATGAAAACCAAAACTGGAATTCCTCTGCTGCATCCATTGTGCCCCTCCTATACTAGCAGCACACTACCAGACAATCTAGATGCTATAAATTTGGAAAAACCCCTTCTTCTATGCACCTTTTTCTCTGAAATGCTGCTATTAATGGGGTTTGGCTGGCAAATTCGTTATTTTAAAATTAATAAACATATTCAGTTTATGGGCAACTGTGGGGGGGGGAATCCGAATTTGTTCATAAATCAGTAAATTTATGAAGTTAGACCATTTAAATCAAGTTTCAATTGTTTATATAAGACGGAACTGCCTGTGTTTCTAGTGTCCTTAGATATGCTTTGATTTATTTTCCATTTTTTTAGATTGGTGGTCCTCACTGCAAATCACAAGAATTATTGGAGACACACGTCAGCTCTAAAAGGAAGCGTCTCAACCAAACTGAGGCATCTTGCATCACTTGGCTACCAACCACTTTTGGTAAATTTTCCATCTCACTTTCGAATCCATAGTTTCTTGCTAAACTTTAATCACAGCGAGACAAAATGATACACATTGTCGAGGAAACAAGCATTTTAAACCTACCAAGCATGCATGTCTAAAGGTCATGCTGCCTATCAATGCCATTTCACTGGGTTATATTTTTATGAGAATGGTCTCATTGACAGCTGCCCTACCTAATTATTGGTTACAGGAACTGCATCTCTTTTTACAGCTTTTGTAACACTTTAGATCATACAGCAGATGCTTATTTTAATGATGACATGCATAGCAGAAGTATCTTCATTATCCCTTTGTGGGTTCATCAGTATTTTTCACATGATAACAAAAATTATTCCTGCTTAATATCTAAATAACAGGCTTAAAAATGGTATGAAGCAACAGAATGCATTGGCGGGCTAGTTGGTGTGAATCAATGCTGCTTTTTAGCTCAAAACGACAGCACAAGTAGCGCTGTGTTCTGTAGTCTTTCTTGTAATGCTTTTTTGTGCTAAAAAGCGCAATAGTATGAAGTAATCTTCACCAAAATACAATCACCAGCCTACGAAATAAAAATGAAACTTGTATCTATTGGCCCGTAAAGAGTCTTTGAAAAAGTGGGACAACACTTGTCCCATTGTCTCATGGAGGCACAAAGATGTAATCCTGTTGGCTCATTTTTTGCCCAAAAAGGCCAGATGCAAGTACCTTTCAGAAAAGGTACTCATCAAAAACTATGTAAAGAATAATTTGTGGTGGACCTTATTTCAGATGTGGTACATAATCTGTTCCTGTCGTGCTGCGCCCAGAGGCTTTGTCTAAACTCTAGGCATGCACAAACATTTTAGCTTCTTTCTGTCTCTTTTTAGTCTCATTGTCAATGCTCTCATAGTAGTGAAAAAAGGATAAAAAAGACCTTCAGAATTTTCTACATAATAATACACTGTCATTTAAGGCAGTAATGGCCTTCAAACTTAAAACCGTTATGCATGCCTGCTATATAGGTTTGGCTTAGCAAAAAAAAAATGTTTCATTTTTTGTTCAAGTGCAGTTCCGACATTTTTGATTACTACAATTTGAAAAGCAAATCAACAGTTACATGCTAGAATTACTTCTTTCAAAATCCAGAAAAGGAGAAACATAGCAAAATTATAGAACTTTAGCTATCCTGCACACAATGAAACATTAGTGTAAAAAAAACAGAACAAATGAAATTAAAACTTGATGTACTGCCTATGCATCGTAAATGTGTGAAATATCTTTTCTTGGTTTCCTGTATGTTTCCGATACATTACAGCAAAAAAGCATAGAGCTGATAGTGACACGTAGTGGCGGATAATGATTTTACTGAATAAGAAAAGGTAGGACACATTTGTTCCATTATCCCTCAAAGATTATGTCATATATCTACCGCAACCAAGAAGCGCTTTAGATATACTTCATTACATGTCTGCTAATTTAATAGAACAATGTTCTGATTATACCAGGCTGTCTTTAGTACAGTTGTCTAATGGTCTCCTTGAGGTTGTCTTACACACGTGCCACCACTCCTGAATTTAAATGAACCGCAACTAGTTTTTTAAATTGTGCATTTCAAGATGCACAAAGTGGAAATTCAAGCTGAACCGCACTAATCATTATTTACGCTAGCAGTACATAAGCACTACATCCACAAACCAGGCACAACATTTCCTTTACGCTACTACCGAGTTTCGCTTCTCTTTCAGGTTGATGTCGAGCAGTGGAAGTCGTTGCCCGATTACGAGAAGATTCCGTACGTCATGAGAGAAGCAAAGGCGGTGCTCAGCGAAGGAGATGCTTCGTGGAGCGCTCATGCTAGGTAGCTGTGCTCGGTGAAGACATTGTACACTATCTTAGGAAATAAAAAATGCAAACAGTTGCTGGTGAAATATGGACCAGCTTTTATGACAGCGCCGAACGCCTCAAGTGCGAAGGTTTGCACGTGCCTTCTCCAAGATGTCCTTCTTTATCTTTGGATAGCTTGGGTATTTAGCCAGAACCTGCAGAAAGTGAGTTTTAGTGCCATGTTTAATGATATTGCTTTTAGAAAAAAGGTTAAGTAATAAATAAAGACTCAAATATTTTCACTTAGGAAAGCTTGTTATCTCAACTATTTATCTTCCAGGTTAGAAGCTAACGGTGTTCAATAGTGAAATGTAAAGAGTAAGGGCTTCCACAACCCACATTAAAGTTGCATGACAGGAAATAGTAAAAGAAATTTCTTACTATATGGCAGACGTCAATGGCATCTGTGTATCGCTTGGCCTTGATGTAGTTGAAGGCTAATTTGTAGCCTGTGAAAAGAGAAAAATAATTATTGGCATTAGCCAAGCAAACTACGGTCAAACTTGTTTTTTCTGTTATTCTTTCTCTTAGAGAATAAAATGCACTTGGTAACCTGCTTCCAGAAAATTTTTGGTATTTCTTATGAGGTGTTGCTCAGAGGCAGGTTATTGCTTGTAAGTAGACTTTAAACTTTTGCTGGAGCAGAAGTAACAAAAAATGCTTTATAAAAAGATTGCAGACAACTCTCGCCTATGTAGCGGTGCAAAATATGATACATGAGTAAGGGGGATTCTAAACAATGTGGTGTATTGAGCTCTCAATTAATATTAAGCCATGGAAGAAAAAACAAGCATCTTATTTACAAATTCAATATTGACACAATGCACTTGTGTTAAAATTTAGTGTATTTGTGAATTTAAATGCAAAAATCTATAGTTAAGTACTTTACTTTTCAGCATATACAGTTCATGTCATGTCGGGGTAATTTTGACTTAAATAGTTACGTTAGAGCTAACATGACCTGTCGTGGCCAGATTTACAGTGACATGACGCAGTTAGACGAGCGATTGCTCATAGCATTCGTTATGCTAAATGAAACAACGTAGTGTTTCGCCCTGTGAGTACTGTACTTTTCTACATCACAATTTCATGTTCAGGCCTCATGTGCCCAAGCACATGCAAAGCTGCATTCACAAAACTGTCGCTTATAAGAACCATTCTTGTAGAGCTATGCCGACCTAGTGTGCTTTCCAAGAGACCAAAAGTGCTACTGGACGCTTCCATAAGGCAGTGTAGTAATAAAATTGCAGGAGCTGGCAGTTTTTCCTTCGATACAACAGAAAGTTGTCCTTAAATAGTGTCGACGTTTCCAAAGAGTGTCTTGGTGTCGGTGTTGGAGCTAACATGCTGACAAGGGGCTTAACTTCAGATATTTCTTTATTCAAGCGATATCACTAACTTTTTAAGGTATCTTATAAACTTCTGTGTTGCTTGGATTGCTTAGTCTCGAAAATTTTGCACAACAGTCCCTAATTAGGCTTCAAAGCCAATCAAAGGATTACCAATGGCAGGGTTGTTCTGACTTCCTTGTTTCCAGGCGCTCTCGTAGTACTGAGCAGCATCCTTGTAATTCTGCTCCTTCTCCATGATGTAGCCCATGTACTCGTAAGCCTTTGTGCAGGACTTGGGATGTCACACAAAGGGAAAAAAAGCGAAGCACACATCAGAGTTTGGTTACGAGTCGTATCATTCTGACTCACCCGAAACAAAGTGCAGGCTCTAGAGACAAACTTTTCATTACCATCGTGCGGTATTAGCCAATTATTTACAAGTGGTTGTCTACGTAAACTACACTGAAAAGTCACATTTAGGATTTGCAATTCTTTGTTGTTTCGGTGGAGCAGCTTAAATTGTCAAGCAAGTGCTTACATTGCAATTAGAGTTTGTCGGATTTTGTCGGACCGAAAACACCTGTACAAGACGATGCTTTGCGTTGGTCACTGTAGGAGGTTACAGATGTAGCAGGCGAAATGCCCCAGAACATTCAGATGAATTCGTGTTTCAGTGGTAGGACACGGAAGAAGCAATTTACTAAAAAATGTTGCAGTTAATCCTAAATGATCTGTAGAACAGTTGAACCTTTTTGGAATCGATGAATAAAAAGTTGACACTGTGGTACAAACAAAGAAAATATGCCTTCTGTGAACCAAAACAATTCACTAAGTTTGTGTGAATCGTGATTTGGTTTGAATGATTTCAAATCGAATTTGAATAGCACATATCACACATTGTAAAGAAAAATGAACATATTTGTCATGGCCCAACTAACCTTCGCAATAATTTTTTTACATTGAAACAAAGCATATGTAAATGTAATTCTTGTTGGTTCAAAGGAAGTGGAAGCAACATTGAAATAGTAGCAGGATTAGACTTTCAGTAGAACGCAAGATATAACTGGTAAAACATGTCACTTTTCAAAATTTGTGTTACTTAGAGAATATATGCTCGCATAACAAGCTTTTAAACTTGAAGAAAGGGAAAATCTATGTGAGGGTATAATGTTCATTTAACCTTGAAGTAGGGCTTCACGGTAGCGTGGATTTTTTTTGGAAAGATGTATTCACGTTACAGCATCTCTTCACTGCAGTGAAACCACATTTACAAGGAAGTTACTTGTAGAATAATATACACCTACTTGTTTATTTCGAACACTGAAATTTCCAATAATTTAAATTCTAATTTGAAACAATTCGAATACCTGAATATTCATGCGTACAAGCGTACAAGTAACCTTTGGTAAAGTCACCAGCAGAAAATGGAATGGAGAGGTCAACTTATGCTTAATCGTTGGTCATGCCCTTCCTGTTATTTTTCAGTCCAGTACTTTTTGCAGTGACTCACATTAACGTGCCAACTAATAATGTGAAGCAACGATTCTGTGTTTAAAAGGGCGTGCTCATCCTACATTCGTACTCGGTCATGGATCCTGTCTTGGTATGTGCTAATTAATTTGTGTGCTGGGGGGAGGGGGGGGTCTTGTTCATCGAGGCATCCATGTTTTGCTAAGTCCCCAAAACTTGATTAATTTGGTTAAGTTTTATGATTGTAAGTTGCAGACAACTAGACAATATTCTAAAAGCTATCAGATGTTATCATGCCATACTTCTGATATTGCTACACGCATTCCTTTCTATATTTTATATTACTGGCTCATTGTACTTGTAGATACTGCGCAAGAGAATGTTTAGGGACGTTCCAGATTATTTTATGATCATCTGCTCAGCTGGAGTGTGCAAATGCGAACAGCTGAGCTTATTTTCGAACAAACGCGGCCACCAGCGATAACGCTCGAATGTTCGATGCCACATTTACGAACAAACGCGGCTACCAGCGATAACGCTCGAATGTTTGATGCCACATTTAATAAATGAGAACGCTCCCTATCATAGATCAGATTATCAATGGCTGGTTGTTGTTCACCACTATCAGTGTATAGTGTGTGTTGCTTGTAGTCTGAATTTTCGTTTAGCGGGCAAAGGTTCACCCATATAAGAAGTTACATCTCGAACCCTTCTTCACTGCTACCTTCATCAACGTCACAACCCCATGGCAATATGTAAATATGGCGTGTCAGGATGTGCAAGTTTTAAACCAGTGAAGTAGCTGTGCAGACATGTCTGGTTCTGATTTTGAGTGTAGTACTTAAGTACTTCAATAAAAAAAATGGCTAATTAGGAGTACTGTCCGCAGTATTCTTTTTTTTCCTGATAATGGTGCCAAATATGCTAAAGCATGTGTAGTTGACACTTGCCGGTGTATGCAGTAAGAAAAAAAAAACAGAAAAAAATTGTATTGCTTGGAAAAACAAATAATTTTGAAGGTTTTTTACTACATGCCTTAGTAAATATATTTGTTCAGCTAACATATGCAGCACAATAACCTTCCATAGAACAAATGAGTCGTTTATCAGCACGTTTTAAATTCTTGTTCAGTTAATAACATGCTCACCTTGTTGTACTGCAGAACACGTTTGAGGAGGTCAGTTGATACATCATACCTTCCTGACTGAAACGTGAGAATGGACAACACGAATATGTACTAGGAGCAATAGCGGGAGGGGCACGCATGCGCTGTAAGGGTGGTCACGCTGCACACCAGATTAAGCTCAACCCCAAGACGCTTCACATCTAAAAATTAATTGTCTCTGGTGGGAGCATACCAAAACCCCCTGTGTTGTATGTGGAAGACACTTCACGGGTTCATGTCCTACGTCGATCACCATTATTGCTCATACTATTTTGTCGTCAAGGATCGGTTTGATATCAGCACAAATAAATTGCAATAAATATGTGCCCACACTGAAATGAGCATTCATCCTGGATAGGCTTCTCTATTGTGAGCATCACCACTGTCAATTTTCAGCACATATCGTTGTTCAAACAATGGATAAGGTGATGCCAGAACAGATATGACTGCTTTAAATGTTATGCAAAGAAATTGTTAAAATAATGGAAGACAAATTTAAGCCCACTGCGAAATAAAGGGCTCCTTTGGACATCCCTGATTACTCCCGTCTTCCACCGGCTGACTCCATTTCATACTTGCAAACTTTCTATTTTATTGCAAATCACACTGCCTAATGCTCTAAACAAGACAAGTTCACAGGAAGACAGAGGATTGAAGTGATCAGAAGTGGTTGAACAGGAAATGTTTCTGGAGCCAACATTACAAAAGGTGTCAACGTTTCAATGAATGCAAGCGATTTTGTCAGAACGTTAGCTCCAGTGACATTTCCTGTTCACTGATTTCTCATCATTGTCTAATACCCTGCCACTTTCAGCTATGTTTTTCATTCTTTTGGGGCCATTCTATGCTTGGTGGTCATTCTATGTTTACATTGTAATAGAAACCCACCTATATGTTCTGTAATTCGACCTGTCTAGCTCCATTCATTTCTCTCAATCTTAACTTGAAGAAATTCTACAGATCCCACGCACCTTGGGAATCGATGTTATGCAAAGCATGCATATGGAAGGTGAATGTCTTTTATTTTTATTTTTATTGAGCGTGACGTTATGAAGTGAAGCTAAATTTATGTACAATCTATGCACACACATTCGTTAAACAGATGCATATGTTTTATATTAGCAGTATGGATATTAGCAACACCAGAAATGGTAAGGTGATATATGAAGCGCTGGTGTTTGTGCTGGTGCGTGCGATGATTGTGGCTTTCAACACTGCTACACAAATTAACTTCAGTAGACGGCGCCTCACTACAATTGATGTCAACTTGACATGACG